TGATTCACACCGTCGTAATGCATACATCATTATTAACATAATGTAGACATCAGTGTTAACGTAAAATAGGCATCATTGTTGACGTAAAATAGGCATCACTGTTGACGTAAAATAGGCATCATTGTTAACGTAAAATGGGCATCATTGTTAACGTAAAATAGGCATCATTGTTAACGTAAAATAGGCATCATTGTTAACTTGAAATAGGCATCATTGTTGACGTAAAATAGGCATCACTGTTGACGTAAAATAGGCATCATTGTTAACGTAAAATGGGCATCATTGTTAACTTAAAATAGGCATCATTGTTAACTTAAAATAGGCATCATTGTTGACGTAAAATAGGCATCATTGTTGACGTAATACAGACATCGTTGTTAACGTAATATAGGCATCGGTGTTGATTTAGTATAGACATCGTTACTGACGTAACGAAGGCAACGTTGTTGGCGTAATGAAGACAATCGTTGTTGACGTAATACATAAATCGTTGTTGATGTAATACATAAATCGTTGTTGACGTCATAAAGACACAGTTGACGTGAAATGTTTGTGACGTCAAGGTAGATGAGGACGTCACACGAGGGCGCCGTTAGCCTTTTGACACGGCTCTCTTGATAAAGAACATTTCTCTTCTCTACTATTTATGATAGCGGATGGTAAAGAAAGTAATGCAATATTTTACTTCCCTCGTTCTCCCATACACACGTATTTACTATCTCGATTTATTACTTGCCCGTGAAGAGATCACCCGTTTAATAAACATACAGCTGTATTACACATTGTGTAATACCAAAACGCGTGCTTCTGTACTCTCGGAACACGTTTCACGAACAAATATTGAAAGCTCTCAACATCCCTTGGCTTATTCAACGATATTGCGTGTGGAGTTGATAGATCACTGAGAGGAGCTTATGCACACTCGATGACCCCAGCAACCTTGTTGCTAGGCTGACGTCACATGGCATTGTTTCGCCGATGGATCTTGCAACAAAATTCCACAAATTACGTCATCGGGTATTGTGACGTTATTGTAAACTTTGAGGTGCAAGGCCCGTTCCACAAGGCGATCTATTGTAGCGCAACGACAGTCGTAAGTCTTAGTTAAAGTATGTGAGTTGCGATAGTCTTAGCCCTACGATAATTTTGTGAATTCTAAAGGTGGACCGTTGTATGGTATTAAATTCCTACGTTTCAACTTTTGACGTGTTTGAAGAATTATTCTGTTAAACTCAATTGGAATATGCCGTGGATCGTGTAGGTGTCAGCCTATTCATACTCAATATATAATTCAAAAAACGTTATAAATGGCAAGTAATAAATAAAATACTAAAGTCGCTCCCGTGTAAAACCAATTTTATGAAACTCGTGAATAGTTGTGGTATCTGACTCGTTTTCGCTCGTCAGATACCACAACTATTCACTCGTTTCATAAAATTGGTATTACACGGGAGCTCGTTTAGTATTCTATATGTATTAGCCATATGGTTTAGAATAAGCGAGGTTGTGAAGCTTTATGAAGCACAACGGATGCACGCGATTTTGTGTGCCCTTCATTCTTGTTGACGTAACACAGATTCCACTGTTGTCACACAGCTAACTACAAAGTGTAATTTAAGAATTGACAACAATATTTGTTGTGTCTATGAAAGTATAAAACGTCATCCCCAGTGCGCATACTGTGTAATGTAAAAACATATTGACGTCAATTCTTATGAATAAATACGTCAACAATAATAACTTCACAGATTGGTTAGTTATTCATTATCACACAAAAACTGTGAAGAACAATGCAAAATCAGTTACATTATTCAGAGCATTGCTGCAACAGTGGGCGCCATTCTGGGCTGCTTGGGAACACAATTTGGACACTCGTTTCCTTAAATGAACATGATCCACACAACCATACAATAATCTTAAGTACAATGTTGTTGCTTATCTCCAGGTCATCCTACTCTACCTCCCCACTCAAACAATGTAACCAAAAAAGGAGGCCACCCATTCTCCCGCCTCATAATATATTATTACGCTCCGGGAAGAATGAACGAATGTTCTTTTTCATAAAAAAATTCTTCGCTGTATTTTATCGGGAATATATTCGATCAAGGGCAGAAACGTTTCTATCGGGTTTTACGTCTTACAGGCTATCACTTCTGGTGCAGCAACGAACAAAGTTAACATAAAATTAAAATTCTTAACCACTTCAGGTCAAGTCGTGTATATTTGGTTCGAGAATCTGTCATTGTTCCCAGATTCTCTCTATGTATGGACCCCTACCATGACCTCACAGAAAGTCCTTGAATTTGGAAAGTCCTTAAAGTGAATTAAGGACTTTTTGACACAGCTTGTCCATCGGCTTTAGTTCTTTGACCGTGGGACGCCAATGTCTTCTTATGATACATTTTACAATTTGAAAACAACAGTGTTGTGTTGTAAGTAGTGTATATGCCGAGTAGCTGTAGCGTTGCCCAAATACCCAGGTTGTCGTCGTGCATGCGGTAGTTTGTCCCGCATCCCAGGCCGTCGTCGTCCATTATGTAGTTTGTCCCGCATCCCAGATCGTCGCCGTGCATGCTGAAGTTTGTCCCGCATCCCAGGTCGTCATCGTACATACTGTAGTTTGTCCCGCATCCCAGGTCGTCATCGTATATGCTGTAATGTCCCGTATCCCAGGTCGTCGTCGTGCATGCTGTAGTTTGTCCCGCATCCCAGGTCGTCGTCGTGCATGCTGTAGTTGTCCCGCATCCCAGGTCGTCGTCGTGCATGCTGTAGTTTGTCTCGCGTCCCAGGCCGTCGTCGTGCATGTTGTAGTTTGTCCCGCATCCCAAGTCGTCTCAGTGCATGCTGTAGTGTGTCTCGCATCCCAGGTCGTCTCAGTGCATGCTGTAGTTTGTCCCGCATCCCAGGTCGTCTCAGTGCATGCTGTAGTTTGTCCCGTATCCCAGGTCGTCGTCGTGCATGCTGTAGTTTGTCCCGCATCCCAGGTCGTCGTCGTGCATGCTGTAGTTTGCCCGGCATCCCAGGTCGTCGTCGTGCATGCTGTAGTTTGTCCCGCATCCCAGGTCGTCGTCGTGCATGCTGTAGTTGTCCCGCATCCCAGGTCGTCTCAGTGCATGCTGTAGTTTGTCCCGCATCCCAGGTCGTCTCAGTGCATGCTGTAGTTGTCCCGCATCCCAGGTCGTCTCAGTGCATGCTGTAGTTTGTCCCGCATCCCAGGTCGCCTCAGTGCATGCTGTAGTTTGTCCCGTATCCCAGGCCGTCGTCGTGCATGCTGTAGTTTGTCCCGCATCCCAGGTCGTCTCAGTGCATGCTGTAGTTTGTCCCGCATCCCAGGTCGTCTCAGTGCATGCTGTAGTTTGTCCCGTATCCCAGGTCGTCGTCGTGCATGCTGTAGTTTGTCCCGCATCCCAGGTCGTCTCAGTGCATGCTGTAGTTTGCCCGGCATCCCAGGTCGTCGTCGTGCATGCTGTAGTTTGTCCCGCATCCCAGGTCGTCGTCGTGCATGCTGTAGTTGTCCCGCATCCCAGGTCGTCGTCGTGCATGCTGTAGTTTGTCTCGCGTCCCAGGTTGTCGTCGTGCATGTTGTAGTTTGTCCCGCATCCCAAGTCGTCTCAGTGCATGCTGTAGTGTGTCTCGCATCCCAGGTCGTCTCAGTGCATGCTGTAGTTTGTCCCGCATCCCAGGTCGTCTCAGTGCATGCTGTAGTTTGTCCCGTATCCCAGGTCGTCGTCGTGCATGCTGTAGTTTGTCCCGCATCCCAGGTCGTCGTCGTGCATGCTGTAGTTTGCCCGGCATCCCAGGTCGTCGTCGTGCATGCTGTAGTTTGTCCCGCATCCCAGGTCGTCGTCGTGCATGCATCTGTGGGAGTGGGGCTGTTTACTTATGTATACATGCAGAGACAGCTGGGATACCAGCCGACGCTGGAAGACACTATATATCAGTCCTTCCAGGAGGTGAAACAAATGGGCTTCAACGGCGCGTCATTATTATTACATGTTAATAGCGATGTGTATGCATGTGTATGCCTGATTGAACTAGTCCGGATTAATGCCGATTTTAGTGCCGGTCCGCTGAAATACCAAGCCGCAGTTTAACATGAATATCCCACTCAGACACAGTATACTGACTCCGAGCCGACCAGTCCTTGTTTTAGCCCCTTAATGCCGAGCGCGAGGCAGGGTAACAACAAGTACCATCGTTTATGATGCGGCCAGGGGTCGATAGGGGATCGAACCGCCGACCTTCCGCTTTTCGGACAGACGCTCAATCTACTGCACCATGGAGGCGGTCAGTTCATCCCGGACGTGTTGTGTAGCCACGGTAACTGATATGGACACAGGTACTATGGTGACTAGTTAGGTGTGTGTGTGGAGGGTGTGTGTGGGATGGGGAGGAGTGTGTGGGAGAGGGGGGTGGCTACACGAAGCGTGACCCTTACACTACACTACACTGCACTACACGACACGACACGACACGACACGACACGACACGACACGACACGACACGACACTACAAGGCGACAATCCTTGTCGTAAGAGGCGACTAATGGGATCGGGTGGTCAGGCTCGCTGACTTGGTTGATGCATGTCGTCGTATCCCAATTGCGTGGATCGATGGTCATAATGTGAATCACTGGATTGTCTGGTTCAGACTCGATTATTTACAGACCGCCGTCACATAGCTGGAATACTGCCGAGTGCGACGTTAAACCACACCACACCACACCACACCACACCACACCACACCACACATGGAGGACGGGCAAGGTACAACCAAGACTTATCTGCTTTTCCCAGTTCACCAGGAATTAGTCATTATTGTAGAGACGCCGGCAGATCACCACGACATAACTATGTGGACATCGGATGTTGGTGATATTATCACAAGCTGTGCGCGCGTAATGACAGGATCTCATCTCACAAATCAACCTCTGTCATATCATTTTCATGCTGGGAACAGCCTCAATTTGTTTTCAAACAACAACAAAATCACACTGAGAATTCACATTTTATCAACGTGTATAATAAATAACAAGTAACAATATATTAAATTAAAAGCGTTGATCACTAAGGCTACATTGTACGTTCAACCGAGTTCAGAGGACACCTGTTTGTAATACATGAGACGGGGGCCTGGGGAGATCCAGTGTAGAATAGGTCTTCAGCAACCCATTCTTGCCATAAAAGGCGACTATGCTTGTCGTAAGAGGCGACTAACGGGATCAGGTTGTCAGGCTCGCTGACTTAGTTAATGCATGTCATCGTATCCCAATTGCGTACAGAGAGGTCATAATGTCAGTCACTGGATTATCTGCTTCAGACTCGATTTGTTTACAGACCGAGGTCATATAGCTTGAATATTGTTGAGTGCGGCGTTAAACAACAAACAAAGCATGAGATGGGGGTGATGCCATCTCCAGGTGGATGCAAGTAGTGTGTATGTTGCGCCATTGTCATATAAAGATATCACATCAGCAGCAAAAACAGTTGCGTTTTCCACCATGTCTTCATAAACAAACACACTGGAGGAACCACACGGTGTCGTTCAGTGTTTGTTCCGCCAGTTTATATTTTAACAAAGATATGCCTACATTATTTTTCGTGACTGAGAATGAGACACCGGTAATGTGTATCGTATCGTATTGGATGAACGTGAGTGAATGATTGCATATTGTCTAGCGCCGCAGTCATCAAACTACTCCAGCTATATGACGGCGACTTGTCAAAAATCAAGCATGGACCAGACAAATTAGTGAGTGGGGTATGAGGAAAACCACCCAAGCCTCGATTACGTATGATCAGCCGTGTCGAGGCAGTGTATATTTTAACTGACAGAGACACCGACAGTGAATGTCTTAACTGGGAGAAGCGTCTCGAGGCCGACAGCATATATTGCAACTGAAAAAGACGCTGAGAGACACTTGGGAGTGTATTCTGAAGCGACTGATTCACAGCCCACATGTCACCTGTTGACGAGTCTCGCCACACCTGTACTAAGTTAGCGCGATCAGGTTGCTACATGCGACTAGGGCAATATTATTAACACGTCTGCATAATGAGCATTCGATCTAACCCGACTTCTGTCCTCATATATTACTGTAACATTGGATGACCAGACACTACCGAACTAGCAGCTTTTCGTTAATGAAAACGGTTTTGATCTCTGAAAAGCGACTGTCCATTAGAGTTTCTAATAACAATTAACCCAATGAGTGATATCTAATCCATTCTCTGTTGTGGAATGTGCTTATCATGTCTGCATCACAGAGGAGACGTAAATCGCCCAACGTGTGACCCCTAGTGCCCCCTGGAGTAAGGTCGAGATCATCCTTCAGGAGGAGATAATCGCTGTTCACAGGGTATGGCCTTTCTACGCTGGACACCTCCCCGCGGGATCTAGCAGGTGTCTCTCAGGTTGTAACTGTCCCACCCGGTGTTAGCTTCAAAGATCGAAGACGCCATCGTGTCGACGTACAATTGACAGTTATCGGTGAGGGTAGGGTCGTTGTGGTAGTTGTAGTAGCGACATGCTGGGTTCTGGAGGCAGATGACGCCGCATCCCAGACGGCTCCGTGATGAGGTTTGCACCACGTCTCCAACAATCCTGTGATCTCTCCTGCTGAGACACACGCTTGTCTCACGCTTGCGGGACGACGCTGCAACAATGGTAATATGAGATAACATGCATTTTACAATGGTAATATGAGATAACATGCATTTTACAATGGTAATATGAGAAAGTATGTATGTTACTATGGTAATATGAGATAACATACCTTCTACAATGGTAATATGAGAAAGTATGCATTCTACAATGGTAATATGAGATAACATGCATTATACAATGGTAATATGAGAAAGTATGTATGTTACAATAGTAATATGAAATAACATGCATTTTACAATGGTAATATGAGATAACATGCATTCTACAATGGTAACATGAGATAACATGCATTCTACAATGGTATTATGAGATAACATGCATTCTACAATGGTAATATGAGATAGCATGTATTCTACAATGCTAATATGAAATAACATGCATTCTACAATGGTAATATGAGATAACATGCATTCTACAATGGTAATATGAGAAAACATACATTCTACAATGGTAATATGAAATAACATGTATTCTACAATGGTAATATGAAACAACATGCATTCTACTATGGTAATATGATATAGCGTACATTATACAATGGTAACATGAGAAAATATCCATTCTACAATGGTGATATGAGACAGCATGCGTCTAAAGCGTCCATCTCAGACAACGAAGTGTCGGACACAATCTTGGTGAAACGTCGCTTCGAACCGTTATGACACGTGAACGTAATAAAGATGGAGGACCCGGAGAGCACGTTTATGGTTGTGACAGACCAAGGATCATAATCAGGCCGAATACTGGATTCGAACCAACGACTTGCAGAGCCTGGCATCTGGCACGCAGATAAACCGAGCCTTATGTCAGTGCTTCCGTGTCACCACAATTCAAAAATAAGAAGAAAACCACCCTTTTATATTTCTGGAAGAAATTGCTTTGACGCAGCCACCAATTCGTATTCCGTCGGGTCTTAGAAATGCCTCCTATTTTACAATAATGCCTGCAAGGCTTACCTGAGAACACACACTTCACGGTGACGTCAGACCATGTGTTATCGGGGCCACACGTGGAGTTGACCTCTGATGATCCATCGTCAAAGGAGAAGTCGGACTTACAGGTGTAGCGCACCGAGAAGGCGTCTAGGTACTCGTACGTTGCCCCCGGGAGATATGGAGCCCCGGGACACCGGTAAACTGGGGATACATGAGACCCTTGGTCATCATCAACAAGCACTGTGTCATCATCAGCAAGTACTCAGTCATCATCAACAAGCACTCTGTCGTCATCAACAAGCACTGTGTCATCATCAGCAAGTACTCAGTCATCATCAACAAGCACTCTGTCGTCATCAACAAGTACTTGGTCACCATCATAAAGTACTTGTTCACAATCAATAAGTACTCAATCACCATCAATAAGTTACTTGGTCATACTCAACAAGCACTCAGTCACCATCACCAAGTACTCAGCCACCATCGCCAAGTACTCGGTCACCATCACCAAGCATCCAGTCACCATCACCAAGCATCCAGTCACCATCAACAAGCATCCAGTCACCATCAACAAGCATCCAGTCAACATCACCAAGCATCCAGTCACCATCACCAAGTACTCAGCCACCATCGCCAAGTACTCGGTCACCATCACCAAGCATCCAGTCACCATCACAAAGTACTCAGCCACCATCGCAAAGTACTCGGTCACCATCACCAAGCATCCAGTCAACATCACCAAGCATCCAGTCACCATCACCAAGTACTCGGTCACCATCACCAAGCATCCAGTCACCATCACCAAGCACTCGGTCAGCATCACCCAGCATCCAGTCACCATCACCAAGTACTCGGTCACCATCACCAAGTATCCAGTCACCATCACCAAGCATCCAGTCACCATCACCAAGCATCCAGTCAACATCACCAAGCTCTCGGTCACCATCACCAAGTACTCGGCCACCATCACCATGCACATTCAGTATACGAAAGTACCTCAATAGACAATGCCCACTAAGCGTCATCACCATGTCAGTAGAAAAAATATCCCAAACCAACAACGCAAACATATCACTCAGTCAGATGTATTATGACTTAAATGGTCCAGAAAAGATCACTTTTCCTTACACCGGCATATAAAACCTTGTACATCCAAGACAGATATCCCGCGGGTACCTTTTCTTACAGACCCTACTCACATTGACAGCCTGAAGAGGGTTCTGACCACCGTCCATCCTGGTCACACCCAGACGTCTTTACGGTGCTGTTGTCGGAGAACATGGAGCTGGGCCGGCACTTGTAGGTGATCACGACGCCGTAAACAACGCCGGCGACGCTCTCAAGTACGTCGGCGTTCTCCAAGACAGGCACAGCGTCGCATGGACGGGCTGCAGGGAGCGGTCAGCTACGTTAGTGGTGTAATCAAATACTCACGACAGTGAGTTTGTGTTTAGGTGCTGTCAAAATCTTTTATTTTACAAACACCATTATGGAAGATATCAACATAAGACATTGGGGGGAAAACATGAAAATGTGTTGTTCGGTATGTATCCATTTTGTAGGGCAATGTTTCAAATGAGAAAGAGATTCAGTTATTTTGTAGCTATCTGCGGAGATCAGTTCCACATGCCCTACATATAGGTGAAGGTATATTTGTAATATAAAGTGGGCGTAGGAAGAGAATAACCAGCCTAGATTTTCTGCCGAAACAGATTCCACTTGGCGTAAAGGGCAAATAGCTGTAGAAATTATATGAACGGACCATTGAAAATCATTGATGACACCAGGTGTTCGCGAAAAGGGTAAGCAAGTCCTGTCCTGCCGCTAGCACCCGTCATTAATTTTAAAAGGTATTAATTTTATTTCCTGATGCAGCACAACAAGTGATAGATGAACCAGACAATCAAAGGACACGAGAGTACCATTACTGATTGTGTTGAAACTAAGAAGAAACGGCATCTCACGTGTACAGTCATCCGGCGTCACGCTCCACGTCTTGGAGTCGCTGCACGTCGTAGTCTGCGTCGTCAGCCCCATGTTGTTGACGTAACCAGGGTCGCAGGTGTAGGTGATGACGGTGCCATACACGGTGTCGTTGCCGTCTCGCGTGGCATTCAGGGGGTCCGTAGGTGCCGGGCAGTGTTTCACTGATACATTCAGAGCACGGTTAATATTGTTGGGTCAATACATGACAGGAAGTGGTCACATCATGACAGGAAGTGGTCACATCATGACAGGAATTGGTCACATCGTGACAGGAAGTGGTCACATCATGACAGGAAGTGGTGGTCACATCAGTGCCATTTGTGCATTCCTGCTATTATTATTCAAGATGTGAGTGAGTGAGTTATGCTACCCGCCCACTTTCGCGATGTTGACCGCGATATATGACGATGTGTGAAATTTCGTACTGGGTATAAATTAATGTGTGTGAGTACACACGACACTAGCACGATTTCGTACGGGCACACCACGAGCTTACAACGAATATAACACGAGTTTTGTACGATGTCATTACGAAATGTTACGATGTTGGCTCGATATAGACTAGTTTCGTTACGAGCTTACTGCGACATTAACACGGGTTTATCACGATGTCAACACGACGAAACAAACCGCAACCAGAATAGGACCGACTTTTGTCTTATTGTAAATTATCAGTATGATTATCGTCCATTCAATCATATCTTATTTTCAGAGCTTCGGATGGTGGCGTCTTTGCGTGGACGATGTTGTGGGCAGCGCTGGAGAACAACAACCTTGGTGTGCCCCCTCCCACACCATTTCCCAGACACGACCAACTTCTGCCATACCCCACAGTGGTAGGCGACGCCTTCGCCATGCAATCATGACTTATGAAGCTATACCCCAGAGGTCGTTGTCAAGGAAACAACGCCTCTACAACTACAGGCTGCCACTTGCACGACGCATTATGGAGGATTCTGGCATCCTTGTACATCTGTATGATAAATATTCTTAATCTACTTGGATCTAATCACTGTGTGGCATTTCTTGCAATAGTTCACATTTATTATATTTTGCATGAGAATATTTTAGTCACTACTTTTTCACTACAAGTTTCACTTGACATGAGTTCAGATTCAGATTCAGATTCGTCCTGAGGGACTGTGGCTTGTCCTCGCCCTTGTCTTGGGCCTGGCTCTGTGTGGGTGTGGTTGTGGGTGACCTCTCCAAACTGGGATTGAGGGCTGGGGACATGTCCTCGGCCTGGTTTTGTCCTTGGTCTGTGTGAGTGTGGTTGTGGGTGACTTCTCCAAACTGAGATTGAGGGCTAAGGAGACTTGTCCTCGGCCTGGTCTTGGGCCTGGCTCTGTGTAGGTGTGGTTGTGGGTGACCTCTCCAAACTGGGATTTATGGGTGAGGCTTGTCCTCGGCCTTGTCTTGGGCCTGGCTCTGTGTAGGTGTGGTTGTGGGTGACCTCTCCAAACTGGGATTTATGGGTGAGGCTTGTCCTCGGCCTTGTCTTGGGCCTGGCTCTGTGTGAGTGTGGTTGTGGATGACCTCTCCAAACTGGGATTGAGGGCTGGGGGATTATCCTCGCCCTGGCCTTGGGTCTGGCTCTGTGTAGGTGTGGTTGTGGGTGACCTCTCCAAACTGGGATTGAGGGCTGGGGACTTGTCCTCGGCCTTGTTTTGTCCTTGGTCTGTGTGGGTGTGGTTGTGGTTGGGGGTGATCTCTCCAAACTGGATTTGAGGGATTGAGACTGGTCCTTGGCCTGGTCCTGGCTATCTGTGGGTGACGGTGACCTCTTCCTCTCCTGCTCCATCTTCCTGGCACTCTTCCTCAGCCGCTGTCGTGTCCCCAGCCAACTTTCGGCCTTAATCCGAGGTGGGATACTGATATCAAAACTCTGAAAATCTGAAAATTGCTGCAAATTAATGTTTAACGCGGTAAACTGATTCCTGGTGAGGGACGCGACCGGTATTTATACACGTGACGATCTTGCGTCACCCGCGCATGCGCACGTGATCATATCGTAGCGCACAAGCGATAAGCTCGTGGTACATCGTAGCTTGCTCGTACTCGTTCAGCTCGTATAAACATCGTATTATACTCGTGACAAGGACGCAGTTTGCTCTTCCCCATGAAAATTAAAACGTGTTGTGCTAGTATAAATCGTGTCTATCACGAAGACATTGTACTCACGTCGTACTCACTTTGTGTTAAAACATCGTGTTCACGTCGTGTCACAAATAAGGGCATTACGATCGCAGAACGATACACACGAGTTAACTACAAACAATACCGAGCACAACACGAGTATAACACGAGCAGGACCCTCTATAGTCAGTTGCTGTTGATGTTGGACATGAAACACATGTACAGCTAAATTATTTCTGTCCTCTTCGCCTCATTAAAAAGAACGTCACCATCTTCAATCATCTGCAAGATAGTTTGTCCTGGAATACCATCGTTTGTTAGAATAACATGATAGAAACAAGTCTTTGAATGGCATTTAGAAATGATACACATAAGGAAGAGAATTTATGGATGTCAACTTCTGAATTATGAGGAAAAACAACGTTTCGGAGTATATGCATACTCCTTCATCAGGTGAATGAATGCTATAAGGCAGAGAGCATATATATGTGTATGTAAGGACAACAAAAGTCCTCATAATAAAGAAGTTGACATCCATAAATTATCTTCCTTATGATTGAAACAATAATGAAATTACCTCCCGTTCCCTATTGACGACAAATAGATGGAGGACTGACATTTGAGATATCAAGGTATAGGCCTATGAAAGGTATTTCAGTAATCCTACCTTGGCAGTCGGGAATCGATTCATTCCATACATTAGACTGCAGACATGAAACAGACTTGGCTGTTGAGGAGTCTGGGAACTCGAAGCCAGTGACGCACGTGTACGTCATCTGAGTCTGGAACGTCATGATGCCCGGAACGTTGTAGACCTTTGACACAGTCGACGTGGCGTTTGCGGGAGTTGATAGTTCTGGGCATTTTTTCTCTGTATTGATAGAAGGATAAAGTGTTGGGTGAATGTCCTCCGTTAATGACAACAACTGACTGTCTCGTCGTATAACATCTCCAGTCAACGTATGCCCTGTGATCAGACATGAGACGTTAGCCGACTAACTCGTCGTGTGTACTAACACGACAATATCATGTCACATCCATTACCAGACCTGCTCAACGAATGACCTTGAGACAGCCAGAGGAAGTCTAACTCGTCGTTTGTACTAACACGACAGTATCATGTCACATCGATGTCATTAACAATTAACTCACCGAACGACCTGTAGACGGCCACAGGAGATCGTGTAAGTTACATAACACACCAACTAACCGAACATCCTGAAGGAAGTCAGGGAAGATCGCGCCAGTTACGTTACACACCAACTCACCGAACGTCCTCTAGACAGCCACAGGAGATCGCGCCAGTTAAATTACACACCAACTCACCGAACGTCCTGTAGACAGCCACAGGAGATCGCGCCAGTTACGTTACATACCAACTCACCGAACGTCCTGTAGACAGCCACAGGAGATCGCGCCAGTTACGTTACATACCAACTCATCGAACGTCCTGTAGACAGCCACAGGAGATCGCGCCAGTAACGTTACATACCAACTCACCGAACGTCCTGTAGACAGCCACAGGAGATCGCGTCAGTTACATTACACACCAACTCACCGAACGTCCTGTAGACAGCCACAGGAGATCGCGCCAGTTACATTACACACCAACTCACCGAACGTCCTGTAGACAGCCACAGGAGATCGCGCCAGTTACATTACACACCAACTCACCGAACGTCCTGTAGACAGCCACAGGAGATCGCGCCAGTTACGTTACATACCAACTCACCGAACGTCCTCTAGACAGCCACAGGAGATCGCGCCAGTTACATTACACACCAACTCACCGAACGTCCTGTAGACAGCCACAGGAGATCGCGCCAGTTACATTACACACCAACTCACCGAACGTGCTGTAGACAGCCACAGGAGATCGCGCCAGTTACGTTACATACCAACTCACCAAACGTCCTGTAGACAGCCACAGGAGGTCGCGCAAGTTACATTACACACCAACTCACCGAACATCCTGAAGACAGCCACAGGAGATCGCGCCAGTTACATTACATACCAACTCACCGAACGGCCTGTAGGCAGCCACAGGAGATCGCGCCAGTTACATTACACACCAACTCACCGAACATCCTGTAGACAGCCACAGGAGATCGCGCCAGTTACATTACACACCAACTCACCGAACGTCCTGTAGACAGCCACAGGAGATCGCGCCAGTTACGTTACATACCAACTCACCAAACGTCCTGTAGACAGCCACAGGAGATCGCGCCAGTTACGTTACATACCAACTCACCAAACGTCCTGTAGACAGCCACAGGAGGTCGCGCCAGTTACATTACACACCAACTCACCGAACATCCTGAAGACAGCCACAGGAGATCGCGCCAGTTACATTACATACCAACTCACCGAACGGCCTGTAGGCAGCCACAGGAGATCGCGCCAGTTACATTACACACCAACTCACCGAACATCCTGTAGACAGCCACAGGAGATCGCGCCAGTTACATTACACACCAACTCACCGAACGTCCTGTAGACAGCCACAGGAGATCGCGCCAGTTACGTTACATACCAACTCACCAAACGTCCTGTAGACAGCCACAGGAGATCGCGCCAGTTACATTACACACCAACTCACCGAACGTCCTGAAGACAGCCACAGGAGATCGCGTCAGTTACGTTACACACCAACTCACCGAACGTCCTGTAGACAGCCACAGGAGATCGCGCCAGTTACATTACACACCAACTCACCGAACGTCCTGAAGACAGCCACAGGAGATCGCGTCAGTTACATTACACACCAACTCACCGAACATCCTGTAGACAGCCACGGGAGATCGCCCCAGTTACATTACACACCAACTCACCGAACGTCCTGTAGACAGCCACAGGAGATCGCGGCAGTTACATTACACACCAACTCACCGAACGTCCTGTAGACAGCCACAGGAGATCGCGCCAGTTACATTACACACCAACTCACCGAACGTCCTGAAGACAGCCACAGGATATAGGGCCAGTTATATTACACACCAACTCACCGAACGTCCTGTAGACAGCCACAGGAGATCGCGCCAGTTACATTACACACCAACTCACCGAACGTCCTGTAGACAGCCACAGGAGAACGCATCAGTTACATTACATACCAACTCACCGAACGTCCTGTAGACAGCCACAGGAGATCGCATTAGTTACATTACACACCAACTCACCGAACGTCCTGAAGACAGCCACAGGAGATCGCGCCAGTTACATTACACACCAACTCACCGAACATCCTGTAGACAGCCACAGGAGATCGCTCCAGTTACATTACACACCAACTCACCGAACGTCCTGTAGACAGCCACAGGAGATCGCGCCAGTTACATTACACACCAACTCACCGAACGTCCTGTAGACAGCCACAGGAGAACGCATCAGTTACATTACATACCAACTCACCGAACGGCCTGTAGACAGCCACAGGAGATCGCGTTAGTTACATTACACACCAACTCACCGAACGTCCTGTAGACAGCCACAGGAGATCGCGCCAGTTACATTACACACCAACTCACCGAACGTCCTGTAGACAGCCACAGGAGATCGCGTCAGTTACATTACACACCAACTCATCGAACGTCCTGTAGACAGCCACAGGAGATCGTGTCAGTTACATTACACACCAACTCACCGAACGTCCTGTAGACAGCCACAGGAGATCGCGTTAGTTACATTACACACCAACTCACCGAACGTCCTGTAGACAGCCACAGGAGGTCGCGGCAGTTACATTACACACCAACTCACCGAACGTCCTGTAGACAGCCACAGGAGATCGCGGCAGTTACATTACACACCAACTCACCGAACGTCCTGTAGACAGCCACAGGAGATCGCGGCAGTTACATTACACACCAACTCACCGCACGTCCTGTAGACAGCCACAGGAGATCGCGTCAGTTACATTACACACCAACTCACCGCACGTCCTGCAGACAGCCACAGGAGATTGCGCCAGTTACATTACACACCAACTCACCGAACGTCCTGTAGACAGCCACAGGAGATTGCGCCAGTTACATTACACACCAACTCACCGAACGTCCTGAAGACAGCCACAGGAGATCGCGCCAGTTACGTTACACACTAACTCACCGAACGTCCTGTAGACAGCCACAGGAGATCGCGCCAGTTACATTACACACCAACTCACCGAAAGTCCTGTAGACAGCCACAGGAGAACGCATCAGTTACATTACATACCAACTCACCGAACGGCCTGTAGACAGCCACAGGAGATCGCGTTAGTTACATTACACACCAACTCACCGAACGTCCTGTAGACAGCCACAGGAGGTCGCGGCAGTTACAATACACTAACTCACCGAATGTCCTGTAGACAGCCACAGGAGATCGCGCCAGTTACATTACACACCAACTCATCGAACGTCCTGTAGACAGCCACAGGAGATCGCGCCAGTTACATTACACACCAACTCATCGAACGTCCTATAGACAGCCACAGGAGATCGCGCCAGTTACATTACACACCAACTCATCGAACGTCCTGTAGACAGCCACAGGAGATCGCGCCAGTTACATTACACACCAACTCACCGAACGTCCTGTAGACAGCCACAGGAGGTCGCGGCAGTTACAATACACTAACTCACCGAATGTCCTGTAGACAGCAACAGGAGATCGCGCCAGTTACATTACACACCAACTCATCGAACGTCCTGTAGACAGCCACAGGAGATCGCGCCAGTTACATTACACACCAACTCATCGAACGTCCTGTAGACAGCCACAGGAGGTCGCGGCAGTTACATTACACACCAACTCACCGAACGTCCTGTAGACAGCCACAGGAGATCGCGCCAGTTACATTACATACCAACTCACCGAACGTCCTGTAGACAGCCACAGGAGATCGCGTCAGTTACATTACATACCAACTCACCGAACGTCCTGTAGACAGCCACAGGAGATCGCGTCAGTTACATTACACACCAACTCACCGAATGTCCTGTAGACAGCCACAGGAGATCGCGTCAGTTACATTACACACCAACTCAACGAACGTCCTGTAGACAGCCACAGGAGATCGCGTTAGTTACATTACACACCAACTCACCGAACGTCCTGTAGACAGCCACAGGAGATCGCGGCAGTTACATTACACACCAACTCACCGAACGTCCTGTAGACAGCCACAGGAGATCGCGGCAGTTACATTACACACCAACTCACCGAACGTCCTGTAGACAGCCACAGGAGATCGCGCCAGTTACATTACACACCAACTCACGGAACGTCCTGTAGACAGCCACAGGAGATCGCGTCAGTTACATTACACACCAACTCACCGAACGTCCTATAGACAGCCACAGGAGATCGCGTCAGTTACATTACATACCAACTCACCGAACGTCCTGTAGACAGCCACAGGAGATCGCGGCAGTTACATTACACACCAACTCACCGAACGTCCTCTAGACAGCCACAGGAGATCGCGTCAGTTACATTACACACCAACTCACCGAACGTCCTGTAGACAGCCACAGGAGACCGCGTCAGTTACATTACACACCAACTCACCGAACGTCCTGTAGACAGCCACAGGAGATCGCGCCAGTTACATTACACACCAACTCACCGAACGTCCTGTAGACAGCCACAGGAGATCGCGCAAGTTACGTTACACACCAACTCACCGAACGTCCTGTAGACAGCCACAGGAGATCGCGCCAGTTACATTACACACCAACTCACCGAACGTCCTGTAGACAGCCACAGGAGATCGCGCAAGTGACATTACACACCAACTCACCGAACGTCCTGTAGACAGCCACAGGAGATCGCGTCAGTGACATTACACACCAACTCACCGAACGTCCTGTAGACAGCCACAGGAGATCGCGCCAGTTACATTACACACCAACTCACCGAACGTCCTGTAGACAGCCACAGGAGATCGCGCAAGTGACATTACACACCAACTCACCGAACGTCCTGTAGACAGCCACAGGAGATCGCGTCAGTGACATTACACACCAACTCACCGAACATCCTGTAGACAGCCACAGGAGATCGCGTCAGTGACATTACACACCAACTCACCGAACGTCCTGTAGACAGCCAGACCATTGTTCGGTGTCTGACCACACGTGTATCCACCAGTAGAGAGGACACACGTGTGACTGCAGCGGCTGCTGTCGGCTTGACCGAGATGACCAACAGATGCCCCACACGTGCACTCTGTCGTCCCCCCGGCGTCGGCTGTGGAGGAACGTGCAACTGGTCTTATGTTATCGCATCAAACACATCTACACATGGATATTTAATAACTGTTCATATGTACGTTCTTATGGATATTCATTAACCGTTACTCTGACATTGCCATGGGACCAAGAAAAGGGTAAGCTGATTGGTCAAATTGCTCGTAACCAAGATGCAAAAGTTAATACCCTCATAACTACCCTGAGACAAAAGGATACACTCCTACCCCCATAGTTACCAAGGGTTATGAAGAGGTACATTGTTATCCTGATATTTACCCAGGGCAATGAATGGCTACATTGTTATCCTAATAGTTACCTAGGGCCATGAATGGCTACATTGTTATCCTAATAGTTACCTAAGGCCATGAATGGCTACATTGTTATCCTGATAGTTATCTCAGGCCATGAATGGGCACATTGTTATCCTGATAGTTATCTAGGCCCATGAATGGGCACATTGTTATCCTGATAGTTACCTAGGGCCATGAATGGCTACATTGTTATCCTGATAGTTACCTCAGGCCATGAATGGGCACATTGTTATCCTGATAGTTATCTCAGGCCGTGAATGGGTACATTGTTATCCTAATAGTTACCTAGGGCCGTGAATGGCTACATTGTTATCCTGATAGTTATCTCAGGCCATGAATGGCTACATTGTTATCCTAATAGTTACCTAGGGCCATGAATGGCTACATTGTTATCCTAATAGTTACCTAGGGCCATGAATGGCTACATTGTTATCCTAATAGTTACCTAGGGCCATGAATGGCTACATTGTTATCCTGATAGTTATCTCAGGCCATGAATGGCTACATTGTTATCCTAATAGTTACCTAGGGCCATGAATGGCTACATTGTTATCCTAATAGTTACCTAGGGCCATGAATGGCTACATTGTTATCCTAATAGTTACCTAGGGCCATGAATGGCTACATTGTTATCCTGATAGTTATCTCAGGCCATGAATGGCTACATTGTTATCCTAATAGTTACCTAGGGCCATGAATGGCTACATTGTTATCCTAATAGTTACCTAGGGCCATGAATGGCTACATTGTTATCCTGATAGTTATCTCAGGCCATGAATGGGCACATTGTTATCCTGATAGTTATCTAGGCCCATGAATGGGCACATTGTTATCCTGATAGTTACCTAGGGCCATGAATGGCTACATTGTTATCCTGATAGTTATCTCAGGCCATGAATGGGCACATTGTTATCCTGATAGTTATCTCAGGCCGTGAATGGGTACATTGTTATCCTAATAGTTACCTAGTGCCGTGAATGGCTACATTGTTATCCTGATAGTTACCTCAGGCCATGAATGGGCACATTGTTATCCTGATAGTTATCTCAGGCCATGAATGGGCACATTGTTATCCTGATAGTTATCTCAGGCCGTGAATGGCTACATTGTTATCCTGATAGTTATCTCAGGCCATGAATGGGCACATTGTTATCCTGGTAGTTACCTCAGGCCATGAATGGGCACATTGTTATCCTGATAGTTATCTCAGGCCGTGAATGGCTACATTGTTATCCTAATAGTTACCTAGGGCCATGAATGGCTACATTGTTATCCTGATAGTTATCTCAGGCCATGAATGGGCACATTGTTATCCTGATAGTTATCTAGGCCCATGAATGGGCACATTGTTATCCTGATAGTTATCTCAGGCCATGAATGGGCACATTGTTATCCTGATAGTTATCTCAGGCCGTGAATGGCTACATTGTTATCCTGATAGTTATCTCAGGCCATGAATGGGCACATTGTTATCCTGGTAGTTACCTCAGGCCATGAATGGGCACATTGTTATCCTGATAGTTATCTCAGGCCGTGAATGGCTACATTGTTATCCTGATAGTTACCTAGGGCCATGAATGGCTACATTGTTATCCTGATAGTTATCTCAGGCCGTGAATGGGCACATTGTTATCCTAATAGTTACCTAGGGCAATGAATGGCTACATTGTTATCCTAATAGTTACCTAGGGCCATGAATGGCTACATTGTTATCCTGATAGTTATCTCAGGCCATGAATGGGTACATTGTTATCCTGATAGTTATCTAGGGCCGTGAATGGGTACATTGTTATCCTAATAGTTACCTAGGGCAATGAATGGCTACATTGTTATCCTAATAGTTACCTAGGGCCATGAATGGCTACATTGTTATCCTGATAGTTATCTCAGGCCATGAATGGGTCAATTGTTATCCTGATAGTTATCTCAGGCCATGAATGGGTATATTGTTATGCTGATAGTTACCAAGGGCCATGAATGGGTATGTTGTTATCCTGATAATTATCTAGTGCCATGAATGGGTATATTGTTATCCTGATAGTTATCTAGTGCCATGAATGGGTATATTGTTATCCTGATAGTTATCTCAGGCCATGAATGGGTATATTGTTATCCTGATAGTTATCTATGGCCATGAATGAGTATATTGTTATCCTGATAGTTATCTAGGGCTATGAATGGGTATATTGTTATCCTGGTAGTTACCTAGGGCCATGAACGGGTACTTGGTTGTAGAAGTACAAGCAGCCAGGCAGTCATCTGCTGATGTCACTGTACCCTGGGATACAAAATCGGATTCCGCAAAGCATCCGACATAGCGATCAGAATCTGGAAATGAACCCAGCATTCAGATACATGTAGTCGCGTTGATGTTGCTTTTTTTTTTATGACGCAGTCAGAAATATATCCCGGCGGGCTGTAAATAGCGTTTTGGTCAGCAGGTCAGAGTTGAAATGGCAAACAAGCTATAAAGCCAGACCAACCACCAGAGCCCGATGTTTGGTCAATTCGAACAAGAGTGCTCTAACAGATGATATGTACTCACTCGTATTTATACAGATACATGACTCGAGATACACCATTTGTCTCATGCAAAGTGAAAGTAAAGTTTGGAAATCACGTGGAGCATAGCGCGATGAGAATAAAGACGCTCTGTGGTAACACTTGACTGATTTGTCATTAACTGGTACACATGGGAAACATCTCTACTTAACGCACATACTTCTCTATATGTTTATATCAGTATAATAACTTGTTTTGCAATACCACTACGTGGTAGAGCCGTTTTATGTTGTGAATTATGATTCATTCAAGACAATAGATTTTACGCCGCTTTTAGCAATATTCCAGCAATATCACGGCGGGGGACACCAGAAAAGGGCTTCACACATTGACCACTAGGCTACCCGACCGCCCCTCCAGACAATAGAGGTGGTATTGAGTGAGAACTGACATGTAATATGTGGTATATTGTTCCAATATTCCAGCTATATGACGGCGGTGTGTAAATAATCGAGTCTGGACCAGACAATCCAGTGATTGGCATAATGAGCATCTATCTACCCAACTGGGATACGATGATATGCATCAACCAAGTCAGTGAGCCTGACCACCCGATCCCGTTAGTCGCTTCTTACGACAAGCGTAGTCGCATATTACGACAAGCATGGATGCGGCGTTAAACAACATACAAAATGTATGTCTTAGGTTTCTACAAATGGTAACATTGTACATTTAAAAAGAAACACAGTGCAACATTGGAACACTTACGATTAAAGTTGAGATAGAGCTCCCCAAGGAACTCGACTCTCATGGCGGCGGCAGCGGCGCTTGTCTCTGGGACCAGTCGGATGCTGTCACACACGAAGGGGTCGGGGAAGAAATGGTTTGTCACAGTAGATCTGTCCGTGTTTCCGCTCATCTGGTAACACAAGTGTGGTGTGCGCGTACGATAAACGGTTACTGCCACTCATGACATCAATCATAACTGATGAAGAATTAAATATACTGTATACTGTATAGTGTATACTATAATACTGACTGTAAAAGCTCTTGGCGAACTAGGCTTGAATATTTTAACTCGATCGTAACGCCACAAGTGACTATTACGAGTTATGTCCCTTCTATGTCCCTCATACTGACCAATTAGATTCCACATCTTATAACACTTGCATTTGCTTCAAACATAATGGCGGCGCCAGTGAAGACGATCTGATCGATAATCAAAATATATATTGTGATAAAACGGGTCTTACTTCGCGAAGTGCCTCAAGACACATGAGCATCCTGACTGAAAACGTGAACAGATCTGAAAAAAACTGCACCCCAGTTTACGAACCGGATGTACATTTCGTTTTGATGGGACTATGCGTAGACTCGTGAATCTAGCCAAAATATGACTCCATAATTCCAGCCTAGTTCGGCAAGGGTGGAAACGTGACTTTCATAGTCAGGGCCTCGGGAAGATGAACGCATGGGTTATCACTGTGATCTCGGGATGTCTGTTCAAACTGCATTCGATCTCCTTTTGGAATATGGCGCCAGACGGTGGGCGTACACTACGATCCGCAACGGTTTGATTATATTTACACTTGCCTCTTCCTCGATCTGTATCCCATCAATATTGATATATACCCTGAACCCATTCGTCATCTCATCTTCGTTTGGTTTGAATTACCCGTTGCTGGACGTCTAATCATTATACAGTGTTCTTCATTTAAACAAGCAGCGATATTAATTACTATTAACTTGGTATTTATATAGCGCTAGTTACCAGACTGACTGCTCAAAAGCGCTCTTGAAGCTCGCACAGTTGGTATGGCTGTATATATTTTTCTCAACAAGTGTGTCTTCAGATGTTTTTTGAAACTGTTAAGATATAACCAATTCTCATCTCGAATGTTGCATGCCGCAGGAAAGTGACGTCATGATCTATTGGTTCAGGCCGATCGACCTTCGACCTACGACCCCAGTAGCAGGAATATATGAATAAATTACAAGTCGGTCTACCGGTTCACCGGTGAATTTTTTGTGTTTATCTTGGAACCGCGTACCTGTTAACTCTCGCGCATCTGACGTTAGACTCACGCTATTTCAACAAAACTCCCTCTCTCACGCCAATATTCGCTCAAAACAACTTTTAAAAATATCGTGCTTTACTTTTGTGCCGAATCGACTTGCTTCTCATCGTAACTATCGCAACGCTCTTGTCATTTTTTCCACATCGCTCTGTTAAGACAATTAACAAAAACACGTTCAACCAGAGGGCTCCAAAATACTTTGGGAAATGTTGAAAGCATTTTCGGATGGGGGGGGGGGGGACTTCGCCCCTTTACACATCACCAAGCCTTCGCCCTTGCCATGACCTGGATCTGCGGACCCTAGACGCTAGCTAATAAACAAGTCACTCACGGAATACGTCTGGGGTTGACAGCTATGAGACTGCAATCGGAATTTCATCATGTATGTTCGAAGTCAGAACATTGTCATTTGTGACGCCATGATAACTTTATGACGTCATATTGTCCGTACATGCAGGCCAGTTGTACGCGATTTTACGACACCTATAGAATCTATCATTAAGTTTTCACAAGTACTAGTATAAACAGGTTATCACGCGAGTGTGTTTTGGGTTGGTAAATATCCTGTATTAGGAATAAACATTGTATTTAGCGAGCCTTAGGGTGGCAAATATCCCGTGTTAGGAATAAACATTGTATTTAGCGAGCTTTAGGGTGGCAAATATCCTGTGTTAGGAATAAACATTGTATTTAGCGAGCTTTAGGATGGCAAATATCCTGTGTTAGGAATAAACATTGTATTTAGCGAGCCTTAGGGTGGCAAATATCCTGTGTTAGGAATAAACATTGTATTTAGCGAGCCTTAGGATGACAAATATCCTGTGTTAGGAATAAACATTGTATTTAGCCTAGATTCATAGTGTGTATTCCATAAGCGTGATAACCACTTTATTATATAATGTCGTCGAAAATCCTGAAAGTTGAGCTTCTCATCTCTCACAAACGGTACCAAAACATTGCAAGTTTCCCTGAAATGTGCGCCTCAATATATTGCGTCAGAAGGTAAGTGATTTGCCAGTCGGACAGTGACAACAGTTTTTTATCCAACCCATTATATGATAAACAGACTTATTTTCGGTGAAAAATGTTCGTGTGCCTTCGGTATTTCCAAAACATATGTCAATTGTGACAAGACAAGCAGAGCACCCCATATAAAAATACTGTGACGTCATGTCTGTACAGACTGGCCCGGTGGTTAAATCGCTCGCTCGTCTCACCGACGACCAGGGAACGATTCCCTCCATGGGAACATTGCGTGAAGCCCATTTATGGTGTCGTAAGAGGCGACTAACGGGATCGGGTGGCTAGGCTCGCTGACTTGGTTGATGCATGTCATCGTTTCCCCATTGCGTGGATCGATGCTCATGATGTCAATCACTAGATTGTCTGGTCCGGACTCGTTTATTTACAGACCGCCGGCATATAGCTGGAATATTGCTGAGTGCGGCGTTAAACAACAAACAAACAAAAACTCCTATACCGTGTTGAACTGTGGCAGGGAGACCCTTGAAGACGACCACCGTCTTGGAAGGCCTGTCAGGTCAGAAATGTTCAAGAGAGTCCACAATGGTGATGACCGATCGGCGGAGAACGGCCTGCCGACTTGTATGGATTTTATGACGGGTAATGACAAAAGTTTTCACAAGACGAAGACAATCAAATCAGCTGGATAGATTCTCTTATCGTGTAATGATGAAAATGTACATACCGAATTGGAGTATTGCGTCCACGTCCCGCCACTGTCGACACTGTATTGGAGGCTGAAGGAGGTCACCCACGCCTGGTACGCCAGGGACTGACCCCCTGCAGGCGACAGGAGTAACATTGATATAGAAGACAGACGGATTTACTATAACACATTGGACTGAAAGTATTCAAACATTCAGCTACTTGACCCTTAGAGTGAATATGTGAGTTCGTTTTTCATGTGGCACTCATCAACGAGCCAGTCTTATCATGGAGACTGTAACTAACCGAGTCGGGCAAGGCAAACATGTGGTCGATAGCACTATCAACAATCCACGCGATGGGATACAATTTCACACAGTCAACATATTCAAACACCTGATTGTTAGGACCCGTGAAGATCCGGGGTAGAATAGGTCTTCAACAACCCATGTTTGCCGTAAAAGGCGACTATTCATGTCGTAAGAGGCGACTGACGGGATGCGGTAGTCAGGCTCCCTGACTTTGTTGCTGCATGTCATCGATCCCAGTTGCATGGATCGATGCTCGTGATATTAATCACTGGATTGACTGGTCCAGAGTCGACAATTTACAGACCGCCGTCATATAGCGGTAATATAGCTGCGTGCGGCGGTGAACAACAAACCAACCAACCGGATCGTTAGAATGGTCGGCCCTAATGACAAGCAATTTCTATGGGGTTGAAACTTTCCCTACAACTGAACATGAACAGCCGGCATCAAACACACCGAAAGGAAACAGTGTCAGTAGGGTCAGTGTAGAGAGTATGGTACTGCGAAACATTACCAATGTAAGCTATATTTGCCAATTAGCTACTATATATTATGGGGCGATCGGGAAGCCTAGTGCTTAAAGCGTTCGCTCGTCACGCAGAAGACCCGGGTTCGATTCCCGACATGGGTACAATGTGTGAAGCCAATTTCTGGTGTCCCCCACCGTGTTATTGCTGGAATATTGCTAAAAGCGGCGTAAAACCTCACTCACTCACTACAATATACCATAGCTATTCAATAATACAGTTATATATACTATACTATTACTGACCTTGTGTGAGCACCGCCTTGACGAGGTACTGGGCGTGGAAATTCGCCTGCAGCCAGGAGGGAGTGTCGGCGGGTTTCCAACTACTCGGGGACACCAGGCCAGAGCCCAGTCTGGGGAGAGAGAGAGGACTCACGCAAAAAATACATTTTATAAAAGCAGTCTTATCTTTGCATACACATGCAACTGGACGCCAAATAAAGGTAGATACAAAGCAGGTCCGGTTCCAGGTCATGGTTCTACATAGGTCTACTCTCTCTTCGGTATTAGGACATATATAGGAACAGATTACTCGTGCAGAGTTACGTCCCATTAGTTGCCTGGATCAGCTGGATGTGAGTTCGATCCCAATTTTTCCCACTTGGTATGAATTGGTCAGCATCTGAGGTCAACTACTACGACTCGCAGCAATAACATCGATCCTCTGACATCAACTGTGACACTGTTCAAACCAACGATAGACTCTCGCCCACCCACACACTCACTTACTCTCCCTTCAGCTGCAGTATGTTGTCCCCTCGTCTCTCTCTCTCTCTCGGGGCGGTCGGGTAGCCTAGTGGTTAAAGCGTTCGCTCGTCACGCCGAAGACCCGGGTTCGATTCCCGACATGGGTACAATGTGTGAAGCCCATTTCTGGTGTCCCCCGCCGTGATATTGCTGGAATATTGCTAAAAGCGGCGTAAAACCAAACTCACTCACTCACTCACTCTCTCTCTCTCTCTCTCTCTCTCACACACACACACACACTCACTCACGCACGCACGCACGCACGCATGCTATTATAGCACAATATTGTTAGAGCGACGTTAAACCCCAGTTCACCTCACTTACCTTGCGTGTGCAGCAGGGTGGCCTGGGGTCTCACTGGAGGCAGACACGCCCCCCGAGCTGGACCCTAGTATCGGTTCATAGCCCGCCCCTGATACAGAGGAAATGGTATATCTTGCGTTATGTACATGTAGGTTAATCGCCAGAATCAAATTTAATTGTTTGGTATAACCTTTTCGTTAATTTTAACTCGAAACTTTGGAAAGTATGTATTATTTTAGGAAGAATTGCATCTTGACGCAATGTATCGATTAACTTGTTACTTATATACACGCCAGGGACGTCTCGTTCACGGTGAATATACATGTACTCCTCCCACTGTTCGGTAGTTATTCAAAGTAGTTTAAACCGAAATTGTCTTTACTTTTAAATCAACATAGTGGTGGACGGTCGCTTATTCTACAACGGAGGATTTCATCGACCCAATGTGTGTACGAACGTAGAGTGTATGGCCCAAGAACATCGACCAATAATAAAGTTTTCCTCACCGTAGACGAAACACTGTACCAGTGTCGTTACCGCGTTGCGTTGCAGTTGGTACCAGCCTGGCATCGTCACGCCGTACTGCTGCAGCTGTGTACAAGACGACAAGATGGCGGCGGTGTAGGAAGCTGGCAACAGAAGACACGCATGTCAGTACCACCTCGTTGTCATGACATTATATACCTAGTGTGCGACTTACACGTGTGCTGGGAGTGCAACATGCCTTAAGAAGACCAGACTCCTCCGTTTGGTCCTCCGAGACTCCATTGCACTGGGATAACGAGCTATTGCCAGTTTGATCTAAAAAACACCTGAGCCAGTAGAAGTATGAAGTGTTGTTAAATTACCTTCATGTAATTGTTTGAATTCGGTGTTTAAGTCGATCCCCTTGTTAAGTGACGACCATATGATAATCTGATCATTTTTAGAATCTGGTCTAAAAATACCTCCCAAGAATGTATTTTTGTGGCAGACAAAAAACATTCAACAATCTGAAGCATGCTTATTTTTTCATCAGTTCGCTGGTTCAGTTTATTTTTTTCGATAAAATTCCAGGCCCCAATTCCCAGAATATTAAATGGCCCGTCACTAAACATCACAGTATTAAGAATTTGAAATAAATTGTTGGTTTGTTAAATCAGAGTTTAGCAGATCTGTACATAATCGAGTGGGAGCAGAATATCCAGTAACTGACACTATGAGCATTGATCCACGCAAATGGGATACGTTTACATGCATCAAGCAAGTTAGCGAGAGTAGTGTAGGAAAGCGCTTTGGTAAGCCAGCAGGAGTTATCTGAAATGCCGCCATCTTAGATGTGCGAAGAGGGGCATGCTGGGTAATGCGTGCGCATCAAAGATGACGTCACGTCCGTTTCCGGGAGGGCGTGCGCATGCCTCCAAGATGACGGCACGTCCGTTTCCGGGAGGCGTGCGCCTCCAAGATGTCGGCACGTCCGTTTCCGGGAGGTGTGCGAGGAGGAGAAGCGTAGGAAAAAGGAGGGAGGAGGAGGAGAATATTTTTTGGTGGTCCATATGGCATCTACTAGTGATATATCGTTACTAACAGACTTTGGTAATGGTTCACGTGGCATCTATACTAATGATGTACGTTCCTAACAGACTCTGGTGGTGGTCCATGTGCCATCTACTAATGATTCACGTTCCTAACAGACTCTGGTGATGGTGCCTGTGGCATCTACCAGTGATGTACGTTACTAACAGACTCTGGTGATGGTGCCTGTGGCATCTACTAGTGATGTACGTTACTAACAGACTCTGGCGATGGTGCCTGTGGCATCTACTAGTGATGTACGTTACTAACAGACTCTGGTGATGGTGCCTGTGGCATCTACTAGTGATGTACGTTACTAACAGACTCTGGTGATGGTGCCTGTGGCATCTACTAGTGATGTACGTTACTAACAGACTCTGGTGATGGTGCCTGTGGCATCTACTAGTGATGTACGTTAATAACAGAGTCCGGTGATGGTCCCTGTGGCATCTACTAGTGATGTACGTAACTAACAGATTCTGGTGATGGTTCACGTGGCATCTATACGTACATCATTATTATAGATGCCACGTGAACCATCACCAGAGTCTGTTAGCAACGATATATCACTAGTAGATGCCAAACGGACCACCAAAAAATACCCTCCTTCCCTCTTCCTCCTCCTCCATCCATCCCTCCTCCTCCTCCCTCGCCGCCATCTTGGAGGCATGCGCACGCCCTTCCCGGATATGGACGTCACTGCACACGCATTACCTAGCATGCCTCTCTTCGCAAATCCAAGATGGCGGCAGGGGAGATAACTCCTGCTGGCTTAGTTACTACTAGCGAGCATACGATAAGCATGGATTGCTGAAAAACCAATTCTAACCCGAATCTTCTCAGAGGTTTACATACCAAACTCACTTGGCAATGCAATAATTATCTGAATGAATACATTAACTATTAGTAAACAAGCTCCAGCCATGATGGATCCAGTACATCTGCATCCCCGCAGACTTAACCCATAACGTTGACAGATATACAGATTAGGCATTTGGTGAGTGGGTGAGTATGATTTTATGCGGCTTTTGGCAATATTCCAGCAATAGCACGGCGGGGAACACCAGCAATGGGGTTCACACATTGTACCCATGTAGGGAATCGAACACGGGTCTTCGGTGTGACGAGCCAATGCTTTAACCACTAGGCTACCCCACCGCCCCTTGACGGGCATTAAGAATATAAGCCTACGGCTCTTGAATGCTCTAAGTTGAACCATAGTGTTCGTTAAGTCAGTCGTTCATAGAAAGAGGCATGTTGGACCAAGTGGGTACTATCACTAGCAAGTCTCTTACCTATGTCGTAGAATGAGGATTCGTTAGATCCATTGGACCCGCACTGCTGGAAGGGCTGGACCCGACACCCTGTGTCACATATGCCCGAACTGATGACGTCATAGGAGGCGTAACACTCGCACGTACTTCCGTTAAGGGCAAAGTGGGATTCATTCTGGCCCCTACAGAACTCCATACATTGAGAAACCGACATCTGTTCAGCTAAAGTGACAGTGTTGCTAGGCGACGACCCTGTCACGTGACATCCGGATGAAACTGAAACTGAAAGAACAACAGCTTCAGTAATATGTCCCTGGCACATGACTGTCCTCGAAGCGTGTTGTATAAGTCAGTACTCTCACCTGGTGCTGTCTCACAGATGTACGGTAGCTCGGCACTACAATTGTACCTCTGTAGTTTCAAAGTGCCCACGTCGACAACGATGCAGCCGTCATCCTTGAATGTATCGGCCGCCAACTCAGCCGACGTCATATATGTGCCGTCTGCTAGCATCACGTGACCCTCCAGCATCACCTCGCGTGCTCCTGTCCGCCATTTTGAGTAGTGTGCCCACACCGGGACGGCGTTGATGAGATCCGCTATGTACTGGACGGTGTCTGAATGTCCTGGAGTGAACAGATGCCCGCCAGACTCGAAACATAACTCGGCGGCACCAGTCTGAGATTTGGCGCTGGGGTTTACTTGAATACAGGTCCGGTTGTGACCGATCCACCCAGGAGGACAATTAATGTCGTGAACTGCAATATTGAGAAGCGTCAATTACCGTAGGCTTTCTTCAAACTCAGAAAAGACATGGAGAAAATACGTGAATGTCGTTACAATGACGCTGCTTGGTTCTGATTTGTCAGAATACCCTTAAAATCGGGTATCTAATTCTAACAGATACCTCGCAATTAGCAAGCCTTTTCACATAAAACCTGTATGTGAATACATGGATCTATCGAAAGCCTACAAATCGATGCATAATTATTTGTTGATAGAACTGTATACGTTCGATATTGGAACATTATCAGATGTTTTGTCATTTATTGATACATGACACAAGCATGTAGTCACAGCAGCATTTTAAATATGATTAAATGTATTTCAAAACACATGCTATTAAATTAATTACACTAACCACTGTCACAATAAGAACTCTCATTGTTTTTTTCTCAGACGCCAAAGCGCTCGCTCCCATATTAAAATAAGAAGAATCTAATCTACAGTTACGCAACCTTACATTTTAAAAAGACAACATAGGTTTATCTCCCTAATATAACATTGTCTTACGATTTAGTTTGTTGGTTTCTTTGTTGTAAAACGCACACTCAGCAATATAATCTATATAACGGCGGTCTGTAAATAAACGAGTCTGGACCAGACAATCTAGTGATCGACATCATGAGCATCAATCCAAGCAATTGGAATACGATGACATGCATCAACCAAGTCAGGGAGCCTGGCCACCCGATCCCGTTGGTCGCCTCCTACGACAAACATAGTCACCGTTTACGGGAAGGACGGGTTGCTGAAGAGCTATTCTACCCCGGATCTTCACGGGTGTTACGAACAAATGCACATACTAGCTGTAGATCTACATCATAATCTAATCTGAAACTTCGACCAATGTGGGTGGTGTAGAACTTACTGTCAAATCCGCACTCCCGAGTCTCGGCCGTGCCCGTAATGGTGTTGTTGATGAGGTATTGTCCCCGGTACAGCACCCCACTGGCGTACAAGACGCTGCAGCTCTCGGGGAGATCATCATGCCCTGTAACGGGTGTCGGGTTAAAGGTCAAACAGGTGTTAGAGCTTGATGCAACTTGTACTCTTATGTTGGTTAGCATAATTATGTTAGGGGGTGTATTTAACGTGTGTATTTAACGGGCTAAAAGACATCAAAGTTATCAATTCATAATAACCTTATAATACCATTAATTGACTCCCTCATCCATTATATTGAGATGAAAATGGGCTTTAACAATATGACAACGCCTTCGTGGTCTAGTTGATAGAGCGTCTGACCTTAGGTTGGTCGTACCATAAGACGCTAAAAAATGGTACTTGTTGTTACCCTGCCTGGCGCTCGGAATTGCATGGATAAAACAAGGACTGGTCGGTTTGGAGTCAGTATACTGTGTCTGAGTAGGGTATCCATGTTAAACTACGGCATGGTACCTCAGTGGGTTAGCAACACACACACACACACACACACACACACACACACACACACACACACACACACACACAGGCGATGGAAACTGCCTGTAGCAGTCACAACAGTGTTATTGTTCGATGATACATATATCATTCCCTTACCACTTGGGAACCCCTACCCACATACACACTGCATATCCAGTCGCCTTTAACACGGGCATTTTTGAAGGCCTATGGTAGATCCACGCACACATGTGTACACAGTGTCAGTGTAACAAAGGTTAAAGGTTGAAATACTTTGCACCAACTAATTCCATCAATATCCCACTCTGACTGGGACAACGAAATGCAATAGTCAATAAAGTTCAATAACTTAGGACATGGTCTTACATATTCTGTAGGCCCTTAGCTTTGAACCGGAAGCACAATTCTGACCCGAGTGACCTGGACAGCTGACCTCACATCCGGGGTCAGAGGTTACTTTATTCAAGTTCGATAGCTCGTCAACACTTGCGCAGTAACAATTGGCGACGTGGAGCAAGGCTATTTCTTTGGCTTGACCCAAACAGAGCTGTCGGCACAAGGTAAAGGTCATCGTAGAATAATTGGCTACAATTGGCTGAATCTGGTTGTTGTTGTCATAGCAAGCATCATATTCTGAAACACAAAACGTCATCGATCAGGAGTGTAATTACAATTGGTTATCCCATTCCGTTATCGTTATTGTTGTCAATCATAGTGTTCTTTACCATGGGTGAGTTGGGGTTAGGGCCGTTTAATCCAGCTATATCACCGCCAACTTTAGGTTTACCACACGGACATGAATAAAGAGCTGATAGACCAAGTATGACAATCAGGTTATCAGCGGATCATTGTATAGATAAGGGACGCAACTCCACACAGCGAACTGTGGCATTTGATACCACTGGGTCATGAGGGAATCTCATCATTATCTAGTGGACGCTTGTCAATACATTATCCAGTGGACGTTTGTCAATACATTATCTAGTGGACGCTTGTCAATACATTATTTTGTGGACGCTTGTCAATACATTATCCAGTGGACGCTTGTCAATACATTATCTAGTGGACGCTTGTCAATACATTATCTAGTGGACGCTTGTCAATACATTATCTAGTGGACGCTTGTCAATACATTATCCAGTGGACGCTTATCAATACACTATCTAGTGGACGCTTGTCAATACATTATCTAGTGGACGCTTGTCAATACATTATCTAGTGGACGCTTGTCAATACGTGCCTTTCTCTGTTGTGCACATGAAGCGTTTGTCATCTGACTTCTTTGTGTACATAACCCCAGACAAAGTTTTCATTCTGACTCCTCCAGTGCCGGCTGTGAAGTTTGTGCCCGGGGCTGCTACCCCGTGCTTCATCAGTGATCCATCCGCCCAAGAAAATAGACCATTTCGAAATTCATCCCGAGCACCAAGTGTCACATATTTACTTGACATTAACGTTTTGGAATCTGGAATAACAAAACGAATACAATATATTGTTCCATGCAGCCGTACGGTGTGTGGATACGTTGTGTTTCCAGGATTTGAGTTAGCAAGACTTAACCAGACATGTATGGCTCTGGTTTTATCTGTCCCCGTGTTGTCTTTTTCAGGTGAACAATTGACTTGCCCTTGCGTGTGTTTGTGACTTGTACCACCGGTGGGGTTTATTCACTATTTGATAGTGATTCATAAACACATGCTCATGATATAGTCGGAATGGTACAATGGACAATGGTTGTAAGCAAAGTTTCTTATGATTATGGAAAGGATTTGGGGGACGTATCTTATTTGTGATAGCGTATCCTATCTTCAGAATACTGAGGGCGACGATTTTGTTTGAACATTTTTAGTAAAATCACGGCATGTCAGTTTGAGAGTTTGAAAGCCCAGAGTGATGTAGGTCTTGGACTTTTACTTGGTTTTGGTGCTGAGAGACGTAGAACAATAATTACGGCGAATCTGGCATTCGCAACCAGGATCATTGGTTCCAGATATGACTGAGGGACTTGACTGATAGAGTTGCAGTGACCTAGATGACGGACACACGTTCCACTATAACTGAAGGGAACGTCTACACATATAAACAAAAGGCAATATCGTCAATCTGTAAATTTGTAGTGGTTGGTTGGTTGTTTAACGCCGAACTCAGCAATATTACAGCTATATGACGGCGGTCTGTAAATAATCGAGTCTGGACCAGACAATCCAGTGATTGATATCATGAGCATCGATCCACGCAATTGAGATCGATGACATGCATCAACCAAGTCAGCGAGCCTGACCACCCGATCCCGTTAGTCGCCTTTTACGACAAGCATTGTCACCTTTTACGGCAAGTATGGGTTGCTGAAGACCTATTCTGCCCCGGAATCTTCACGGGTCTGTAAATCTGTAAGCCTGGTAAGCATTGAGAACGGAACCGTTCGAGATAACGCTGTTTCGCTGAATGTTAGTAACTTACACTTGATCACTTGTCGGAGGAAGGTCATCTCCCCCGCGTCTCTCGTAGACGCCAAGACGCCACCCCAGCTACGACAATCCGTCATCGCGTCATCCTCTCGCTTAGACTCGAACCCAAACAGCACGCAGTATCCGGCGTGACCCAACCCTGTGAAGGAAGTGTTGGGGCTCGTGGGGCAGGTGGAGTTATCTGGAGAAAGAGGGAAATAGCATCACCTCAAGTCTAGGAGTAGGATGTGAACTCGCACCTGCAGAAATTCTGCATGATTAAACAACATATTTTTTCCTGAAGCTGGTTGTTCGGATTAGCGATGAACTAAGCGTTTGTTTGTTGTGTAACGCCGCACTCAGCACTATTATTGCTATATGACGGCGGTCTGTAAATAATCGAGTCTGGACCAGACAATCCAGTGATTGACATCATGAGCACCGATCCACGCAATTGGGACACGATGACATGCATCAACCAAGCATAGTCGCCTTCTACGGCAAGAATGGTTTGCTGAAATCTATTCTAACCCGGATCTTTACGGGAAGGAACTTAACGTGCAGCTACGGAAACATATCCCGTTTCATATAAATGATACATACATTAGGTATACTATATATCCAGGTATATTAGTGAAACTATCTTTCACATGATGCCACTGAATGTATGTCCTACACTACCTGACATAATGCAGTAGGCCGGTGTGCCGTCCAAGATGTAGGTCCCTGGTACCATGATGCCCTGGTTGAAGAAGTCACTGCAGGATTTGGCGTACTCGGGGAAGGCAGCTGGAAGCAGATGTGCTGACGTCAAATAAGACGTTCATGTATATGTAGTGTACAGTTCCATTGACCACGAAGAAATTGACAACACGAGTCTTCGTGAATAATACACCAAGGCAGGGAGCGTGTGTCGAAGTGTATTGTTTGCATGAATACTCGATTTGGAGTTACTCTTTGAAATAATAATAATAATAATGATTATAATAATAATAATAATAATAATAATAAATCCTTTGTTGCAGACATCACATGACGTCATAGATTTATATCTACACAAACTTGAGTCAGTTGAGCAAAATTGTTTCGCTGCGTCAAGTCAGTAAAATATGCTGAGGCCTGTGCCCTTTCCAAAGGACAAACACGAGAAAACTGCAGTGATCAAGTACTACAAGAAAAAAGGCTTAGGACCAAAGCTAGCCATGAAGATATGAATCCAACACCACGAAAGGATGCTCCTTCCTATGCCACCGCACCTGTGAAGATCCGGGGTGGAATAGGTCTTCAGCAGCCCAAGCTTACCGTAAAAGGCGACTATGCTTGTCGTAAGTGGCGACTAACGGGATCGGGTGGTCAGGCTCGCTGACTTTGTTGATGCGTGTCATCGTATCCAAATTGCGTGGATGTTCATTATGTCAGTCACTGGATTGTCATGTCCAGAATAGATTATTTACAGACCGCCGTCATATAGCTGAAATATCGCTGAGTGCGGCGTTAAACAACAAACAAACAAAAACTCCTATGCCGTGTTGAACTGTGGCCGGGAGACCCCTGAAGACGACCACCGTCTTGGAAGGCCTGTCATGTCAGAAATGATCAAGAGAGTCCACAGTGGTGATGACCGACCGGCGGATAACTGAGCGTCATATTACTAGTTCACTAGGCATTTCCCAAGACAGAACATTCCAGTATCACAGGAACTTTGGTAATGAAGAAAGTGTCAGCCCGCCGGGTTCCAAGGCTTCTGACATCTGATAAAAAATGCACCAGAAGCAAAAGGTATCGTGATAATATAGCTCTGTTTGAAGCTTATCTACAAAGGTTCTTGCAACTATATGTGACTATGAATGAAACTTGGGTCCACCACTTCCAACAACAATGAAAACAGTGGAAGTGACTGACATCACCGAAAGGCAAAGACAATCAGCTGGAAAGGTTATGGCCTTCGTGCACTGGGATGCAGAGGTTATCATTATGGTGGACTTTCTTCCCAAAGGCCACACAGTAAACGGACCTTTGAGGCAGAAATTATGACAAAGAGACGTGGTAAACTGAGAAAAGGTGCGCTCATAAGCCGTTGCCGTGGCTTCAATGCACGAATGGAACTCCTTCAGCACCGACCTTATTCTCCTGATATGTCTCGGTCAGACTTTTTTGTTTCAACACAAGAAAAAAGCTCCTTTCGGGACCCATTTTGACTCATAAGATGACGTCATAGCCGCTATGAATAACTTTTTGGAGTAGCCAAGAGAAGGACGTCTACGACAACATCGTTGACAATACTGAAGGGGATTATGCTGAAATTAAAATCATCTTAGTGTCTTTAGGTCAGGACTACTTCTGTGAGACACAGAAGCTTTCAATCACCCGACGCATGTATCTGCTGCATCCAGCTACACAATCCGAAATTCTCTATTCATTGTTTTTATTATGAGGTTGTGATATCATAACCAAATGTATGGCACAATGCTATGTAGACTGCTATACAAGTAACGGAATAGGTTCTGTTAGTTACGGCAAATTAATATATAATTGGTTTGTTTTTTCAAATTCTTGATTTCAGTAAAACCCGGTGTTAATATTTTGTTAATATCTGAACCATTTGTGTATAACGAAACATGTTGAAAATACAAACCAGTTGTGTGTATGTTTGAAATAACTTGAGAAAAGTCGGGTATGTTGAACTGAAACAATATTCCTTTTTTGTACTACCTTGTATTATGTATTATGTCTCTTTTGATTTGATATTGGCCAATCATAAATCGCTTTCACTTGGGGAGGTGGTGAAATGTGTGCATTTATACACAAATTTGAACAGTTTTGTATTTGATAATTAAGCTTGGACGGTACAATCGGGACTTGTATGTCATTGGAAGGGGTGTTAATCTGTCATGTGTCGATCGTTTGGATTCACACATCAAGAACGTAAGAGACGAACTGTATGATTCTTTTCACAATAAACACCCAGGCTATCAAGTGGTTGATTTATTACAGTAAAATAACAAACCTAACAGAATTACGCCCACAAAATGTTGTTATAAACTGTACTAAATAATCTATAATCGACAGAAGCAATTTCCCTATTATTAATCAAAGTCCTGGTGTAACCATAGGGCGAAGTACGTTGACAACAGTGTACAGTCTCACCGACGCTGTAGGCGGACACATGCGCCGGTCCCCCGCACATCTGTCCCTTGTTAGTCAGACACATAGATGTACACGATGTTGGCGATTTGGCACTGGCCATGGAGATGGTGCTACTACACCAACAGGATGTGACGTCAAGGAGGGCGTAGGTTTGACCTTGACCCCTACAGAGTTCAACACAGACTGGTATCGTCATGTCTTCATAGTCAACCAAGATGGCCGCATCAGTCGGTACGTCGAAACAACCTACGTAATCTGAAATATAATGATTTAGAGTCCATAATTTCGTGGAACTGTGTATCATGTTCATGGTCGCAGTGTCATTGACATAAATGTTTAGCTACATATACGTAGTGATAAAGCCGCCATTAAAAATATGTTTTTACATGAATCACTTCAAAATATCCCTTATTGCGCCTACATATGATATCAATGAGTGAGTAAATAAACATTTCCATCACATCGACATTATTTCAATCATATAACGACGCTATAAAATTATACATTCATAAAAAACATGCACAGTAAAGGAGAAATGGAGGATCTGGGGAGATTGGTTTTGGGAATGAAAAATTAGACAGTGCGCCTGTGAGTGTTGCTCACAGGTCACTTCTAGAAATGTCGATAAAAAATGGCCAAACACTTAAAAGCAATAACGTATTCAAGCTATATCACGGCGGCTTGTACACTATCGAGTCTGGACCAGACAAACCAGTGGTTGATATCACGAGCAACGCCCAACACAGTCGGGTACGATCGATGTCACACATCAACCCCGTCACGGAGCAGGACCACCTCATATACCCAGTCACCTCTAACGAGAAGCAATGTCCTATTCTAACGGTCACTCCCATTGTGACTATTCCCATTGTGGCTAGACTCAAATAAGAAAATGCGCCTACCTCTAGAATAATGGAATACACCAGTCGTCATCTCTACTCTGCCAATACTTGCTTGAACAATGTCTAATGTAAGATGTTGTTCTTGTGTAAATTAAATGAAATCTACAAGGAATCTGTTTTGTCTATTCCAATTTTGTGTACTCCAACACCGTACCCAACTTAAACTAGATATAGCGGTGACAAGTAGTAGTTACAAATGTTATATTTGGGATAACACTTTCTTAGTAAAGTACAGATTCTCGTACTTTTTTGGGGTTGAGTCCCGTCCGGGATTCGAACCCAGACTTCCCAGGGTGAGGCACCTAATCGCCAGCAAACAAAGTCAGCGATCTAACCCACTCAGCCACCGAGGCTTCCACAAAAAATGAAAGTCCGACAACTGGTAGTCTAGATCACGTACTTTGAGTACCCCTCTGACAAGTGTCAATTGGCACGGCTCCCATGGCCGAAAGCTATGAATACACAATGCCATTTAGAAAGTGGTCAAATGTAACAAGTGTTATATTTGGGATAACACTTTCTTAGTAAAGTACAGATTCTCGTACTTTTTGGGGGTTGAGTCCCGTCCGGGATTCGAACCCACACTTCCCAGGGTGAGGCACCTAATCGCCAGCAGTAGTAGTAGTAAGCAGTCACTGAACCACGGCGTATTTGTTTTGGAGCAGTCGTCATAATAGGAAGGAGTCATAATGGGAAGAGTCCATTCTAACACGGGTCCCCGGGCATAAATAAAAAGACATCGAGAAAAAAAACGTGACTGTCCCTCAAAGTCATTATGGATATTCAAATAAAGTATACGAGGAGTTATCATCAAACAACTTCCACTTCCTGTTGCAAAAGTAGGAGCGATGGGGTAGCCTCGTGGTTCGCTCGTCACGACGAGGGCCAGGGTTCTATTCCCGACATGGGTACAATGTGTGGAGCACATTTCTGGTGTTCAGGACCCGTGAAGATCCGGGGTAGAATAGGTCTTCAGCAACCCATGCTTGCCATAAAATGCGACTATGCTTGTCGTAAGAGGCGACTAACGGGATCGGGTGGTCAGATTCACTGATTTGAATGATGCATGTTACGTATCCCAATTGCTTGGATCGATGCGCATGATGTCAGTCACTGGATTGTCAGGTCCTGACTCGATTATTTACAGACCGTCGTCATATAGCTGGAATATTGCTGAGTGCAGTGTTAAACAACAAAGAAACAAACAAATTTGGTGTTCCCTGCCGTTACATTCCTGGAATATTGCTAAATGCGGCGTAAAACCACACTCACTCACTTTCACCCTCCCGGATTGAAACCAGGGTAGGAAGGGCGATTCGGAACATTTTCTGTGTAGTGTTGGAGAATTTGACGTAACTAGTATGACGTTGTGTGCTTTGATATCCACAGTTGTCATGTAAGATGAGGAAACATCACCTGGTTGTGTAGCGTGTATTGAGTGAGTGAGTGAGTATGGTTTTACGCCGCTTTTAGCAATATTCCAGCAATATCACGGCGGGGGACACCAGAAATGGACTTCACACATTGTACCCATATCGGGAATCGAACCGAACCGAACTTCGGCGTGACGAGCGAACGCTTTAACCACTAGGCTACCCGACCACCCCCATATTAGATAAGGAAACATCACCTGGTTGTGTAGCGTGTATTGGATGTATGGTATGCTTTGGGTGAAACGAGAACAGCAACAAGCAGTGATTGGGGATTCTTACCGTCACCCTTCTCACAGATAAAGGGATTCTTGCTGGGGTCGGCTGTGATCAGTTCAGAGCTGTTGCTGTCTCTGTGGAAAGCGAAGAAGGAATTGTCATTGGTCACGGAGAGATAAAACGCAGATGAGTTGAATAGTTGTCCGTTACTCCAGCGGTATACGTTGTTGTTGTCGTTATCCACGAGTCCCGTCAACCACCAGTCAAAGTAGCGCAGAGTCACAGCCCTATTGATGATCTCTCGGACCTGCGCAAGTTCGTGCGCATCTGTGAGTGAGACTAGATAGGCTCCCAGTTGGCTACACGATGTGGCAGGGTTGTCGGTCCTGCCGACCATGAACTTGTAGCAGTGACCCTCGATGTTCACCCAGGAGAACGGACACAGCACACTGTCTGGAGAAAGAATATATAGAGTGTGAGACAGCGAAAGGCAGGAGAGACACAGCAACAGGGAAAGAGAGAAATAAAAAGCCTCAAATCAAGAAATTAACTTTAAGAAATATTAACAGTTTACGACATGGTCTTAAAAACAACAAAGTACATTTTAAGAGGTGTTAGAAAAACAAATATTCTAAATCAAAATGAATTAATGTGACTTACTACTTGTTGTGCACGTGACTTCACCATGAGCTGTGACAAACGTATTGTTCGTGAGGCCCTGCAACTCAAGCTCCTCACATCCCTCTGCCGGGGCGGGGGGCGACCCTGTAAGGAGACTTGCCATGTTACTGGAATAGAAGGACTGTCGCATAGAAGGACACGCTAACAATTTTACAGCTATCACTTATCTATATTATAAACTCGTGGTATTTTTACACCAACGCCGGGATATAACTGAAATACTCAGTAATTCTACTTGCTCCAATATTCGAAACATGTTGTGAAAGAGCCAGTGATAAAGACGTAATCGTCGGACATTGAAAAATAAGCTTACCCATTATAGAAAGCCAAAGTACAGAATGGGATTGAAATTATCCCATTGAGAAATGAAACCAGGACCCGTTCCATCAGAATATTCTTGGTGTCGTTAATGGAGCAATCTGTTGTCTCCATATGTAGCACTGACAATTAAAGTGGGTGTTCTTCGGGAGTGAGTATGGTTTTTCGCCACTTTAGCAATATTCCAGCAATATCATGGCGGGGGACACCAGAAATGAGCTTCACACATTGTATCCACACGAAGAATCGAACCCGGATCTTCGGCGCCACGTGCGGACGCTTTAACCACAAGGCTATCCCACCGCCCAGGAGTGTCCCTGAAGTACTCGATCATATGTGAAACTATGTTGGTCATACAGGAACGGCCAGGTGTGAAAACCTCTCCACGTTGTGTTGGGGGATGCAGTGATTGAATTCAAATCAATAAAATCATACGTTTATCAATTACAGATCATTAACGAGCGTTCTCCTCAAAGCTTTACCTCCTCCGGTGACGAAGATGACCGTCTTGTCTGGATTTGCGGACGCACCGCCGCACGGCTGAAACATGTGACCAGGACATTTCACGTCACATGACGACCACCCGAGTGTCACGTGACTCGGGACTGTATCAACGCAGAAGCATGTCCTGTTACTGACGGCAGAATACGCACGTGACACAGACAGACACTTCTGGGAACACAGAGTCAGAGTCATGTTCTCATGGGTCAAGGCCGCACTCAGGTCCGCTGTTGCGACTTCCAAACAACCGTAATACCAGTCTGAAACATTGAACATAATATTCACGCCGTCATTAGAATCACAGTGAGTGAGTGAGTTGGGTTTAACGCCGCTTTGAACAGTATTCCAGTTATATCACGGCGTGTCAGCTTAATGTGGGAGGAAAGCCCGAAGTGATGCAGGTCTCAGACGTTTAACACTTCGGTGAAACCCACGAGCACGGGTATGGTGCTGACAAAACTAGAAACATAATCGGGGCGAACCGGGATTCGAACCCACAATCATAGGTTTCTGGCGTGCCCAAGGGACGCAACTCTGCACAGCGAATCGCGGCGCCTTAGACGACTGGGCCACCCGTGCCCCCCATTAGAATCACAGGACACATGTTACTACAATGTGTCGCATCTTCTTTTTCATGTTGTGACCAGGAAGTCAAGTTTACAAAGGAAGTTTAGCGAGAGATTCCATTAAATAAGAAGTTACTTCGCAAGCTCCGTTCATACGGTTTGAGGGGAAAGGGTGGCCCAGTCGTCTGAGGCGCCGCAATTCGCTGTGCAGAAGTGCATCTACTGGGCACGCCAGAAACCTATGATTGTGGGTTCGAATCACGATTTGCCCCGATTATGTTTCTAGGTTTGTCAGTGCCATACCAGTGCTCGTGGGTTTCACCGAAGTGGTAACGTCTGAGAACCGCATCACTTCGGGCTTTCGTCACACGCTGACATGCCGTGATAAAGGTAAAGCGGCGTAACCCAACTCAACCACTCACTCAAACAGTCGTTCACTCAATGAATTATGACGTATAGCATGGGAATTTGTTCCGATGCTATTTGTGTAGTCACTGTACCTGGTCGTCTTTCACAGATGAAGTTTTCTTCATCGCTACATTCCCGGTCGTACCAGCTGACGTCGTCGTCTTCACGGGCAACTACCACGCAGCGCTCCTGGAAGGGTCGGCTGGGTTCGCTGGAGAGGAAGCTGGTGTAGGACACGAGGCCGCCATCAGTCCACTGGAAGGATGCGCTCTCGCGGGCGTCGTACAACCCTACAAACCACGCATTATTCCGAGCTCGAAAGTTACGGAAATCTGAAAGAGAGTACGTTCCAGGCAGTGAATTAAGTGTCGTTTTGGAGTTTATTTCCAATAAAATATACTAAAATATGCAACTTCTGAAGGTTTGTGTGTTAACTTCAGACGTTCGTGCCATTAAATTCGCTCGTACTTTGATAACACAAAGGTATATTGGAGCCCAATGACCAAAAGATCAATCACTAGGCAACGGATCAATTACTAGGCAGTGGACCATCACTAGGCACTGGACCAATCACAAGGCACTGGACCAATAACAAGGCTGTGGGTCCATTACTAGGCAACGGATCAATCACTGGGCAGTGGGTCAATCACTAGTCAACGGATCAATCACTAGGCAGTGGGTCAATCACTAGGCAGAGGGCCAACCACTAGGCACTGGACCATCACGAGGCACTGGACCAATCACAAGGCAGTATATCAATCACTAGGCAGTGGATCAATAACTTAGCAGCAGATCAATAACTAAGTAATGGATCAATCGCTAGACGGTGGAGACAGCGACTAGACATGGGTTCGGGGTCTCCAAACGCGGGAAGGCACTAGCCAACTCAATTAGCGCACGTAAAATCTCTCTCTCACTGTAGAATGCTTCCTTAAGAATCAGCTGCTCCTGGCTCGACTGTATGGCCACCAGATGCGCGTTCTGTGACAGGCAGTGGCTGTAGGAGGCGCTGAACGTCGCGGTGAATTTGCTGAAGTAGTAGCAGCTGCCGTTGTATCCGACCCAGTAGTCGTCGCACACCGTGTCATCTACATTCACATCACAAGGAACACTAGGTCACACATTTGCAGCATACACATTACACACGTATGTAGTTTATCGCTCCAATGGTTGTGTTTATTTGTTCATGTAAAGCTGAATTGTAAATTATCTGATTTTTTTAATCGATTTTGTGGACACAGTATCCCCAATAAGGAGTGACGGGAATGTTAGTGGCGTTTACCTTTAAAGCGACAGTAGATCCTGGTGTTGTTGGAGGTGTAGTAGTAGCCGTGCATGCAGATGCCGCCCTTGTAGAGGTTCTCGCAGCTGTCAGCCAGCAGCGGCTCCTGCTCTGTTGGATAATACTCACTTTATATATCCATGGCAACACCCACGGTGATCAATATCTATGGTTTCATCAGATTCATGTTTTTTTTAGGGATTCAAAGTTGACATCAGGAATGTATCGTTGAAATTATGTTTTGGCCCATATGTATTATTTGTCTACACTAGCCACGAGACACTGTATCAGCACTGGACAGTGGAACAGACAGAAGACACTGTATCAACACTAGAAACTGGAGTAGGCACTAGCCACTGTAACAGAACTAGAGGGTGAACTAGACACAAGACACTGTAACAGCACCAGAGAGTGAACCAGACACTAGACACTGTGACAACACTAGAGAGTGGAACAGACGCTAAAGGCTGTAACAGCACTATGCAGTGAAGTAGACGCTAGACACCTTTACAGCACTAGACAGTGAAGTAGGTACTAGACACTGTAACAGCACTAGAGAGTGAACCAGACACTTGACACTGTAACAGCACTAGAAAGTGAACCAGACACTAGACACTGTAACACCACTAGAGAGTGGAACAGACGCTAAACGCTATAAAAGCACTAGACAGTGGAGTGGGCACTAGACGCTATAACAGATCTAGACAGCAGACCATACACTAGACACTGTGACAACACTAGAGAGTGAAACAGACGCTATAGGCTGTAACAGCACTAGACAATGGAGTAGACGCTAGACACCTTAACAGCACTAGACAGTGAAGTAGGTACTAGTCACTGTAACAGCACCAGAGAGTGAACCAAACAATAGACACTATAACAACATTAGAGAGTGGGGTGAGGTGAGGTGAAATTGGGTTTAACGTCGCGTCCAAGATCATTGCACTTATATAGCGACGTGCATGCACGTGTGTGTGTGTGGCTGCTTGTACTAGTCCGGACTGATGCCGATTTATAGTGCTAGCCCACTGAGATACCATGCCGCAGTTTAACATGAATACCCCACTCAGACACAGCATACTGACTCCGAGCCGACTAGTCCTTGTTTTAGCCCCTTAATGCCGAGCGCCAGACAGGGTAACAACAAGTACCATCTTTTAACGTCTTTTGGTATGATGCGACCGGGGATCGAACCCCGGACCTTCTGCTCTCCGGGCGGACGCTCTACCACTTGACCACGGAGGCGGTCACTAGAGAGTGAACCAGACGCTAAACGCTATAAAAGCACTAGACAGTGGAGTGGGCACTAGACACTGAAACAGCACTAGAGAGTGGAACAGACGCTTAACGCTATAAAAACACCAGACAGTGAACCATACGCTTGACACTGTAACAACACTAGAGAGCGGAACAGACACTATAGGCTGTAACAGCACTAGACAGTGCAGTAGGGACTAGACACTGTAACAACACTAGAGAGCGGAACAGACACTATAGGCTGTAACAGCACTAGACAGTGCAGTAGGGACTAGACACTGTAACAACACTAGAGAGCGGAACAGACACTACAGGCTGTAACAGCACTAGACAGTGCAGTAGGGACTAGACACTGTAACAACACTAGAGAGCGGAACAGACACTATAGGCTGTAACAGCACTAGACAGTGCAGTAGGGACTAGACACTGTAACAACACTAGAGAGCGGAACAGACACTATAGGCTGTAACAGCACTAGACAGTGCAGTAGGGACTAGACACTGTAACAACACTAGAGAGCGGAACAGACACAAAACGCTACGGAACCTCTCCCCGTCACTTACCTAGTGTCCACACGCGGACGGTTGTCGCGGCGCTGAACGGTCTCACAAGGTCTTGTATCGGCAGATTACACACGTCGGGGGAGATCCGCACAGCACTGATACCAGACGTCGTGTTGGTGCATTGGCAAAGGTAGGATCTAGTTACCATGGCTATTGGAAAATCAAGTCCACGGCAATGTTCCTTACATGTTACATAACTTTTGCCAACAATGGGTAACGAAGACATGAAGACGCTTGAGTTGGTCATAGAATAACAGCCATCTGCAAAGAAATGTTGGGCCTTGTTATCAAAATATAAACTCTTCAAAAAACGAAACGCAATACGGATATTTTTGGCCATAAAAGCAACATTAGTGGCCAAGAGATGCAAAATGAAGAGGTTTAATGTGTTATAGTGTCAGTGACAAATTTCACGGGTCAGAATGATCACAGCAAGGACATTAGTCGGGAAACACGTACGATTCGGAAAAACGCACCCAGTGCATTAACAAAAGGGCCATGGAGCTGCACGTACTGCACGTGCGCACCACTATGAACGGTATTAAAGTTTAGGTTTTTTGATTGCCTGGCATCTGCGTAAATCGAACAGTGACAGTTCAACAACATGCCAAGATTAACAGAAGTGCAAAGAACAACGTCATGGGTCAACACGTGATCGGCCAAGGTCGGGACGACCAAGAGTAACCATCCCGCCCAAGATCGCTACATCCACCTGCGCCAAAACCACCTCAAGCGCATCAAAAATACCCGGACTGCGCAGAATCTCCGACCAGACTGTACGAAACCCGTTTAAGAGCAGCAGGTCTACGAGCAGGACGTCCTGTTCGACGCGTCATATTGAGTCGACAACATCGTCAACAACAACTGCATTGGTGTCGTCAACACAGGGTGTGGCCTCAACTGCGATTAAGGTAGCTGACCTTAACCTTGGGCTTTTCCTATGCACCGATAATTGAGATGACTACAATCACCAAGTGTTCTCTCCACAACATTTTAGCTTGTACGGTTCCTCGTATAAATGTATTTTCCTACCTCACACAAATCTAGCTTTGCTTTTCTTTTTTTGAAGAGTATATATATATAATATATATATGACACCAGGTGTTGGCTAAAAGAAAACATAACATGTAACATGCTACAACGTAACTGTCACATACCGCGTTAGAAGCTAATGTATTGTAGTAACATGCTACAGCGTCGCTGTCACATACCGCGTTAGAAGCTAATGTATTGTAGTAACATGCCACAACGTAACTGTCACATACCGCGTTAGAAGCTAATGTATTGTAGTAACATGCTACAACGTCGCTGTCACATACCTGTCCCACGTTAGAAGCTAATGTATAGTAGCAACATGCTACAACGTAACTGTCACATACCTGTCCCGCGTTAGAAGCTAATGTATAGTAGTAACATGCTACAATGTAACTGTCACATACCGCGTTAGAAGCTAATGTATGGTAGTAACATGCTACAATGTAACTGTCACATACCTGTCCCGCGTTAGAAGGTAATGTAAAGTAATAACATGCTACAATGTAACTGTCACATACCGCGTTAGAAGCTAATGTATGGTAGTAACATGCTACAACGTAACTGTCACATACCTGTCCCACGTTAGAAGCTAATATGTTGTAGAAACGTGCTACAACGTAACTTTCACATACCTGTCCTGCGTGCGGTAACAGATTATTTTATCAATTTGTGAAATAACCACCCCACTTTGAACCTACCCACCCCGTCCACCCTCCCCCTTTTGCAAATGTTAAATGACTGACCCCTTACTAGTAACTTGGTAGCCTCGCCACAATAGTACTTTCTAATGACACCGGCCACGATGCAGTGGATGTTCAGCTTTCTGGTCCGACTAGTTTGCACGGAAAGAGGTATCACTAGACAACCAAGCCCCCTCCCCCAAAGCGAGCACCGTGTTCACAATGAAAAACAAACTCACCAAAGGTCACATAGACGCTCATCCTGCCGTCTGCCCCTCCACACATGACGTCGGGGTTGTAACCACAAGACGTGTTACAGCCGGTGTTGTTCACGTTGGTTCCGAACGCGGTGAGGTTTCCACAGTAGCAGTCGCCTCCTTGAAAGCCGCTGTAGAGCATGTTGTTATCCCTGCAGTGAATGAGGCAGTGACTGTGGCTACTTGTTCCTGAGAGGGACACGTTCAGAGCCCCGGTGGAGGACTGTCGGCACCCGACGTACCCGATTGTCATAGCTGGCAACAGACACAAGCTGGAAGTCAGGGAGAATATATTGTGTGAGCACAATACAATAATCGAGCCTAGGTCAAACAAACCAGTGGTTGATAGTGTGAGCATCCGCCCATGATGTCAGAGTACAATGACACACATAGGGTGGTCGCTAGGGGAATGAGTTGTGTTTTACGCCGTTTTTAAACAGTAATATAGTTTTATCAGGGCGTGAGAGGAAAGCACAAAGGGATGCGGGTTGACGTTAACCATGCGTGCGGATATGGGGCTGTCAGACCAGGGATAATAAACACTACGAACCTAGGATTTCAGTAGGCTATCAGTAGATCCTTGCAAGAGCAAGGGATGTAACTCTGAACAATGAATTACAGCACCTGAAATTTGAACCTGAAATTCCAGTACACTAGCAACGGATCCTTGCACGACCAAGGGACGCAACTCTGAACAGCGAATTACAGCACCTTAGATTCGAAACCGGGATTCCAGTACACTGTCAGCGGATCCTTGCACGTCCAGGGGACGCAATTCTGAACAGCGAATTACCCGGTTAGCCATTCAAATTGTCATATAAGAGATGGACAAGAAATCAAGTTAGTGTCATACAATAGGTTAATGAAAGTTACTCTTAACTATCAAGGCTTAAACGTTAAAGCAACGAGTATTCGTAATGATTAACAAACATCGAAATTAGCAGTGTATCCTAAACATTTAAATGAATGCGGTGCTGGCTAAAGAAACAGGATATGTCACAACTTCAAATCACACATTTGTACTCAGCGAAATGAGGAGACTTAAACACCCAGAATATCCTACGATCAATTTTGTTTTTGTCGATTATCCTGGGCAATCTATGTTTATAAGGTAGAGAAGATATCAAGGTCTTTATTATGAGGAACACAACGTTTCGGAGTGTGAGTTGGGTTTAACGCCGCTTTTAACAGTATTCCAGTTATATCGCGGCGTGTCAGCTTAATGTGGGAGGAAAGCTTTGTGCAACGGTGCCCTGGTAGAGATACGCTAGATCACTGGTTCACGCTTGACCCTCCAACAGATGGCGTTGGACATGGTAATTTTGTAGATGGGGTGTATTTGAAAGTTGTTGCCATGGAAGCAGTAAGTGAGGTTACATTTGCAGTCGAGGGTGGTGGTGTTGACGTCCTGCACTTCCCACTCCCCCGTGGCGTTACAGGACAGGTTGAGTCTCGAGGGGTAGATGTCTCGGAACCTCCCCGATGAACACGTTATAGAGAGCACACTTCCATACGTCACCGAGCTGTACGTCACGTGGGCACTCGTCACTTCCGGGATGGTTGTGCACGTCGCGGCTGAAAACCAACGCTATGAATATACACAGATTCAACACACACTCAGTGTTGACTAAGTTTATCATATAAATGGATTGTTTGAAAAATATTTGTTCGTGAAATGTTTGTTAATAAGTTAATATGCAATTTCCCAACATGGGGGGGGGGGGGGGGCGAGTTTGTTGTTTATATATATATATGTGTGTGTGTGTGTGTGTGTGTGTGTGTGTGTGTGTTGTCACGGGGTCACGTGACCAATAGCCTTGCTTATCCGGGCTATTATCTTCTTTCTGTTATGAGAAAATACCTTGGCGGACCCATTCGCTTTGTTTTGAGTTGGAATCGAAAGGCATGCCTCTAGAAATAGCCCGTCCAGTGAGATTACTGTTATCATATATGTGCAAAAATCATTTGTAAATTTCATTTCACATCATCTCACTTCATAACCGGAAAATATTATGTGCTACGTAAGAGAGAGAGTGAGTTATGTTTAACTCCGGTTTTAACAGTATTCCAGTTATATGACGGCACGGCAGCTAAACGAGGAATGTTAGCCTAGTGCAGGTCTCAGACGTTTACCACTTCGGTGAAACCCACGAGCACGGGCGTGGTGCTGACAAACCTAGAAACATAATCGGGGTGAACCGGGATTCGAATCCAGAATCATAGGTTTCTGGCGTGCCCAAGGGACGCAACTCGCCTTGGACGATTGGATATTATACCCTGGATAATCGAAGATGCGTGACCAATAGCAGGCAAATCCTCCGAGTTAGTACAAACACGATAACAATGGTTGATAGAGATCCACAGCAGAATCAACATACCACTATTCCTTCACATGGGGTGTGCTTGTCGTTGCGTAACTTAGATAGTTCAGTATACATCTGCTGATCTAACGTTTCCTGTATCATACATTTATCCATCTATCGCATTTCTCTACTCCAAGGCTGGAAATCTGTGGTTGATTTTATCAGATCGGTGGTTGATCAAGTAATCAAGTAACTGTATTTAAAAATATGTCTACCCGGAGCCCAAAATTTTGTCGTTCGAAGAAAATGGAGTACGAACATAACGTTCTTCAAGAAATAGTTGATGCTGCAAAGAACATAGATTGTCACTTGTTCCGAAAAACTGTAAAAAAATGGTATTCTCATTAAAGTAAATCCGAAGGTATATCTACTGATAATTGGTTTAATCATTTTAAAACTCTCTTAACCCTACTGCTGAGATTCTAACCTATCGTTTGTGATACTTGAACAGCATATGCTGTGACATTTCCACCGTTATTTCAACGTGATGTGCTACTGGCTTGTTAGACACAAATAGTCTTGTGTTGAATACTACTAGTATTTATGCCAGGCTTTTCTAGGTGTCAGTAATTGCTATGCACCTAACGACTGCACCTAATCGTAATTGATTACAGTGTATAACGATACACGCACATTTGCTGCATGAGCTGCTTATCTTGCCCGAATAATATCCAATGACATGACTGCTGAAGTGTTAATCCAGGTTAGCATAGATGGATCTAGTTAAAGGGAGACTCGGCTCTGTGAAACTGGCAGTCTCAGTTCACTCAATTTCACACAAAAAACCCAAACCAAATCTCTCTGTAAACTCAAACAGTATGATGTAAAAATCTCAGTGTGACCGTCTGGATCTAGACACCCCTGGGCCCGCCAGAAACCTAAGATTGTGGGTTCGAATCCCGGTTCGACCCGATTATGTTTCTGGGTTCTTCAGCACCATACCAGTTTCACCAAAGTGGTAAACGTCCGAGACGTGCATCACTTCGGGATTTCCTTCCTCATTAAGCTGACACGCCGCGACATAACTTGAATACTGTTAAAAGCCGCGTTAAATCCAACTCGCTCACTTGTGGGGCCTTTACACAGGATGGCGACCTTGGTGCCTCCAGTGTGCGACCATACAATTTGCCAGGTCGTCGTTGGAGGCTCAAAGGAGGCAGAATGGTTGCCTAGGTCGTTCCAAGGTGGGACACGGGATTTTCAGACATCGCCATGGACGCCATGGTCGCAATGAATTTTGGAACATGTTTTCGAACAAGGTCGCCGAGGAGGCTGGTTGCTCAAAGGTGGCTCAAAGGAGGCTCAAAGGAGGCAGAAGGGAGGCACAAGCATTGCCGTTGTTGCAGAATGAAGGCACAGTGGTAGTCGCATGGTCGCGAGGTAAAAGGTGCGTTCTGTTGCAAATCTTTCCCGTCAATCTGGGCGATGCTTCTGCCTCCCCTGTGCCTCCTTTGGGCGACCAACAGCGTGCATTGAACGATGACTGTGGCGACCGCTGTGCCTCCATTCGGCGACCACGGCAACCCTTTAGACACCATGGCAATGCTTCTGCCTCTTTTCTGCCACCTTTGAGCTACCTGTAATGCCTCCTCGGCCTGCCTATAAATAGAGGGTTTGTACCTGCAGTGTTTCACTGTGGTTGCAGACGCTTAACAACTCGAGCAGTTACTGCTGAACAACTCCTGGTAGTTACATAGATACATGATTGAGCGTCCTGGCCAGTTTTTGATCGCTCAAAGGAGGCACAAAGGTCGCAGCCCTGTGTAAAGGGGGCTTAAGTCTTGGGTGTCATATGTGTCGAGTTATCACTTATGCCAAGTGGAGTGTCGATGTCTGCCGATTAGTCGGTGAGTTGGTTTGGCTTAAGGCGCTTTGCAGCTGTACTGTAGCAGAGGGTCATTTAAACATAAAGGCGTATCATCAAATTGCGGGGGTAAATCCCGTGTAATGCATGTCACAGACGTTGTATAGTAGTAATAGTGTAACGGGCTTCCACCCCGTCTCGTCTCTACACTAACACGGGGCGGTGGAATAACCTAGTGGTTAAAGCGTTTGCTCGTCACGCCAAAGATCCGGGTTCGATTGCCTACATGAGCACAATGTATGAAGCCCATTTCTGTTGTCCCCCGCCGTGATATTGCTGGAATATTACCAAAAGCGGCGTAAAACCATACTCACTCACTCTCCACTTACATGTCAATATATTCTGCAATCATATGTACTACTCGAGAGAAGTTCAAGAACAGCCGATCCTTTTATATTACTGTGTCTTCTTTAGCCCTTAGGACTTACGTGAAACCCTTAACGACTTACGTGAACCATTCAACGACTTACGTGAACAGCTTTGTAACGACCCATCCCATGTTGCATTGCCTGTAATGTTTAGCTGGCAGCGTAGATTCTGTGTCTTCTGTCCGTCTGGCAAGGTGAAGCCAGTCTCACACGTGACATTGACGTCACTCCCAGCCTCGACGGAAGTGACGTTGTCAGTGGCCACTAGAGTCGAGTCGAGCTGGAGCGGCGGACATGTTGCAGCTGAAAGGAAAGAAGCAGACGACAGATTACGTCAACATACGTCGACATGGACAGCGTCTCTGGCATTCCGTGGTCACAACTTGGGGGACATGTTGGGTATAGATAGGTAAGTATGTAACTGGGCAGTAATTATTCACCAGTCATGTCGAGTACAACATTAAGTATAACACACCAGTCATGTCGAGTACAACATTAAGTATAACTCACCAGTCATGTCGAGTACAACATTAAGTATAACTCACCAGTCATGTCGAGTACAACATTAAGTATAACTCACCAGTCATGTCGAATACAACATTAAGTATATAACCTACCAGTCATGTTGAGAACATTATTAAGTATATAATTCAGCAGTCATGTCGCATACAACATTAAGTATATAGCCCCCCAGTCATGTCGAGTACAACATTACGGTTATAACTCAGCAGTCGTGTCTCGACTACATTAAATATATATATAACTCTGCAGTCGGATCGAGTACAACATTAAATATATAAATCAGCAGTCGGTTTGAGTACAACATTAAATAAAAAAGTATATAACTCAGCAGTCGGATCGAGTACAACATTAACGGACATTAGTTGGTCCGTAGTCAGTGTCAGTTGGTCCGCAGTCAGATAGTCCGAGTTGACCGCAGTCAGTGTTGCCTACATCACAACCCCCACCTCATAGCTACACAGCAATACTGACAGACTACATCACAACCCCCACCTCATAGCTACACAGCAATACTGACAGACTACATCACAACCCCCACCTCATAGCTACACAGCAATACTGACAGACTACATCACAACCCCCACCTCATAGCTACACAGCAATACTGACAGACTACATCACAACCCCCACCTCATAGCTACACAGCAATACTGACAGACTACATCACAACCCCCACCTCATAGCTACACAGCAATACTGACAGACTACATCACAACCCCCACCTCATAGCTACACAGCAATACTGACAGACTACATCACAACCCCCACCTCATAGCTACACAGCAATACTGACAGACTATACAGGAGTGTTTACTGGAGTGTTTCAATGACCACTCACAGCGGTACCATCACTATGGCCATAAGTGTGGCTAAGCCTACTACTGCATTACTAAGGTGGATCTATACCTAAAGTAGGCATTGAATATATCACTAATGAGGTAAACAATCACTCTTCATCGCGATGACAGCTTTGCGTGTTTCCGCGTTCCACTGACTCCGGCATTGTGTACCCTCAGTGGCCATTTTGTCGTCATGTCAAGGAGGTTTTTTTGTTATAAATCTGTTCAACATTTCTCCCATCCGATCTACCGTCCCCAGGGACAGCGAAAATCTCAATCTACCCCACCCCAGGGACCTTGGTGACCCGTGTCTACCCCATGTCCTGTGCATCGGGGCTGTATGGACGCGCGATTCTACTTTCAGTAATTAAAAGGAATTCTCTCGAGGCATGTAGGTATTAGCGGTACTAATTATGGTATCGATTATTACTTCGGGGTAATTACAGGTGATGGGGGACATACAATAGATACCACCGCTTCCAGAAATCACGGCATCAACATAGAAACAGCCAACATTAATAGAAACAGCATGTCATAAACAGCTTTCGTATTATGGATTTACTCTTTATCACAACACAATGGGGGCAGAAGGTTACAAGTCATCGAATAGTGATCGAGTAGTTGTTTTAGTTTGCGCCAAAATAATAAGTCACATTTAGTTCTTAGTTTTTCACAGTTATTATAACTATTTGTATGTGGCAATAACTTGGCATTTGGTAATGTGTTTAATATTGCAACATTGTCGCCTGACCATTACCAAACATGCAGCATCAGTGTCTGAAATCTTTCAGCATGACAATTTCCCGTAGCTAATATCCCAATAAAAAATTGTAATTACATATATATCATTACTGTCAGAGTCATAAGTTTAAGTCAACTCAACCCAACTAAACTCAGTTCAACTCAGCTCGACACAAATTTACAAATTAATTGTCTTCTATATATTACCAAATTTTTAGACATATATCGTTGGGCATGTCTTTGGTCTTTTGACATACATCGCTCGACGTTAAGAACCCAAACAGAACCTACAGATGACAGCGCCTTGGCACTCTGGCCACAACGTTGTGTAGTCGTTCTGTGGTGGCGCAGAAGACAAATATAGTATTACAATATTACAACACCAAGCGCTTCTAAGTTGAAACATGTATGTACAAGTAAGTACTCAAAGGAAATGAAAAACATCAATATTCAAAGAATAAATGGAACACAATTTTGATATAACTAAACTCCATGCCAGACATTGTTGATCTTTCCTCGATAACTCCTTGATGAAAAACAAACTAGTCTTAACAACGTACACGTGATTTCACATAAGCATACAGTTCCTGTGACGGTGTCAGCTTTTGTCAGCACATACACGGAGCATAAACACAGTTTATCACGGTAAACAGACGAAGGCATTGCCAAGTCGGTCGACAAAGGTTTCATTGATTTAAATTAAATGCTTTCTTCGAATCACATATTTGTTGTTTTTTTATTTTGTGTTTCTGGTATTTGTAAGGTGTGTTTGTAGTTGTTAGATGAACTGACGTCAGCCTTTCAATGCCATTGGGCTATGTCTGATTGCGACAATGGTATGGGACAAGCACCTTTATCGAAAATGGAATTAAACCACATGTGAAATAAAGATGGAAGCAATATGTCTTTAGATGACTAAATCACCTCTACAAAGTTCTTTCCTGGACCGCTAACTTCCCATCCTATTATGGACTTTGTTTCATCTGGAGAGCAGACTCGAAGCAATGGATATCATTTTCCATATTGTGCACCTGCACTTTATATTCCACAGGGCAACATTTGTACTTCGGTGACACGAACTATTATGCAGTAAAGGATGACCAGAATTCATAATATCGAGAAGAAAAACGGAACATATACGTGTATACATGTATGTTTTGTATCGGATTATTTGAGAAGGTTTAGAGACACAAAAGCAGGCCGTTTTTGTTTCAGCGTCAGATACAGAGGAGATGTGGAAAATGCAAATGTCAACAATAGACAACCAGACAACAGACAAATGCTCCACGACACATACTCACAGCATCCCAGTCGTGTTCGATGGGATTGAGGTCGGGAGACCTTGACGGCCTGTCCATAACGTTGACTCCCGCATTCTGAAGGAAATTCCTTGTCAAAATTGATGTGTGGGGTCTGGCATTGTCGTGTTGGAAGATCAAACCGGGTCCATGTGCTGCCATAAAAGGCAGAAGTTCTGGTGCCAGTACCTGGTCGCGGTAAGGAGCAGCATTGAGGTTGCCACGGATGACAAGAAGCCTGGAACGTGCATTGCCACAGAAAGCACCCCACACCATCACACTTCCGCCTCGAAATCTGTCAACTTCCTGTACACAACACTAGGCGTAACGTTCATGACAGCGCCTCCACACCCTCGCCCTACCATCAGCAAATCGAAGATTAAATCGGGATTCATCACTGAAGACGACTTGATTCCAATTCCTCTGAGTCCATCGTAAGTGTTGCTGTGCCCACAATTGACGTTGACGTCTGTGTAATTGAGTCAGAATCGTCCCGCAGTATGGTGAGCGGTTCTCAGAGGGTTTCGAAGAGTTTGCGCACTCAGTCTACCCCTATACAGTTCATTTCTGGTTGATGTAGCCGTCAAAAATCGGATACGGAGGTGACGTAAGCCAATCTGACGATCCTCTGCGTGTGACGTCACACGTAGTCGACCTGGCCGAGGGCGATCAGCGGTGGTACCCGTTTGCTGTAGACGCGTCTGTAAATCATAAACAGTCCGTCGACTACAACCCATCGGCCTTGCGACTTCAGCTACGGACGTTCCCGTCTGCAACATGCCGATGGCACGTTCACGTTGCACATTTGAAAGGCGTGGCATGTTAAATGGCCGTAAAGACTTTTGTTTTCTTGTGTTTTTCTTTTTTTGTTAATGACTGCTAACAAGTATGGCTGAAAACACGTGCGGTATTATGGCCACGTGACCAGTTGCACTTTTGCCACTATAGTGCTGTGCCTGCACAAAAACGGGTGTTATCTGAAGACAATACGTGGCCATTACAGTTTAAATACACAATAAGGGCCCACAATGATAACTGGTCAAAATGTTAAAATTTTAGGATTGTGAAGTTTTTAATTTGGTTCAGTATATTATGTAATCATTATTCATCAGACAAATCATAATTTTGGAGACAGGACGTAGTAGGCTAAAATGGGTGATGTCATGTCACCACTTGTTCTTGTTATCTAGTGTTGCTTTATATCTAAACTGTCCAAGTCGGACTAGAAACATTGGCTTGAAAAGATACATTGAATTTGTTTGCAAAATTTACCAAGTTTGTTGATCAATGTGTCCTTGTATGAATATTACTCAAACTGAATCTCTTACTATTTCATCAGGCATGCGCTTACTAAGAGCCTGGATTTTCTTACAAAAATAGAGATGAGTGGTTTCGAGCATGTCATATTCCTTTAAGGATAGTTTTCCCCATACATTATATACATATACGCCACAGGGTAATATCAGCAGATGCCAGGTGAGCACAGTGGCTATAGGATGACGTCCACCAAAGTACATGTCGGAATCATGGTTTACATTTATCAATTTTATAATTTTTTCACATACTAACCTCGTTCTTTATTCAGAAAACTATACTTAAATACACACTCCAGCATAGACAATTGACTTTTGAACAAGTAAATTTATGCTACCAATGTACAGATGTTCGGGCGACACTGAGTTGTCGTTACATTCGAATGTTAGGACGGTACTATTGATTACATTGTATTTTAGCTGTCACTTGATAGCATAGTCTTCTGCAACGTTTAGGGGATTGTGAAGACCAGTTGGGTTACAGCTGATCAAGGTCGTGTCACCTGCTAGCAGTATTCCTGGCCATCGTCCCCTTGGCAGACATAGTCCACAACCGGAATTGCTGAGTTCATGAAGTAAATCGTTGATAG